AATATCTAACTAACTTGGGTGAAGCGAAATCTTATTCCCTTCAGGCCTCAGCGATTTTCTTCGCATTTCCGATTGGGAACCCCCGGGACGACCGAAGAAACTACACTAGCTCTCCGCGATAGGCACGGTACGCCATGTTGGTAATCAAGCCAATGCGGTCCTGGCCCAGGTACTCGGTAAATTTCCCCAAGTTAATCTCAGTTGCGGTCTCGTCCTCAGACTTGCCCGCGTCGAAGCCCTTCCGGATTTCCCCATTAAGGTGGGCCATCAACTCCCTAGCCTCGTCAAAGTCCTTCTTGGTGCCCACCGGTCCGTGACCGGGCACGATGGTCTCAAAGTCCATTTCTCGTGTCTTGTCCATCACGTCCAGCCATTTCGTGATGTGTCCGTCCGGGAAGGCAGGCAGAACACGGTGGAATGCGATATCTCCGGCATACAGCACGCCATCCTGGGGAAGGTGCAAGAGTATGTCCCCGGAGCTGTGGGCCCGACCCAGGTAAATGAGATTGATCTCCCGGTCACCCAGCCGTACGTCCATTCTGTCATTGAAGGTAACATCAGGAAGAGTCATCCTGATCTGGGACAACTCCGGCATAAGCTCCGGCCGGCCGCTGGTGTACCGGTTCATGTTGGCGTCGAACTTCTCGATTAATTCCTCGCGGCAGTTCACGTGTCCAATTATCGGGGCAGGAACGAAGTACTGGTTTCCAAAGACGTGGTCGCCATGGTAATGCGTGTCCACCAGCTATCGGATGGGCGCCCTGGATATGTTTCGTACTTCCGACAGGAGCCTCGTGGCCAGGGAAGGGGTCATGAGAGAGTCAATTACGATGATGCCTTCTTCGCTGACTATGAAACCGGCATTGGTAGCTCCGTTGGGTTGTATGAAAGCATAAGCGTTGGAAGCCGTCTGGATGACTCCCGTGTCGTATGCTCGGCTGGTCAAGGTACTGCCTCCTTCGTATGGTCTTGAGCCCGTGTAGCAGGCAGTCTAATGAGGCATCAAAAGCCCGTCAATTGGCCTGTGCTATACTTCGCAAAATCCTTGCCGAAACAACGGTGCATTGGACGATGACGACGTTGCTGGAAGCCACAACCAACCCATTTGGGGGCATAATCCCCAATCCCGCCGCTCTCCCGCCAGACCCCCATGATTTTCGCGACAAACTGGCCCAGTCCCTGAGTGACTGGAAGGACCAAGGGTATAAGGCTGTCTGGCTTGAAGTGCCTATCGGACTGTCTGCCTTGGTTCCGGTTGCTGTGGCGGCTGGTTTTTCCTTCCACCACTCCGGTGAGCGACCAAACCAGTATTCGCCGGGTATGGAAGGCGACCAGTATCTGATGATGACCTTGCAACTGGAACCCGGAGCATTTATCCCACCCTTTGCTACTCACTACATTGGCATCGGTGGTGTAGTGTTGAACGCGGAAAAGGAACTGTTAGTGGTATGCGAGAGGCACCGTAACCCTGGGCAGCCTCCTTTTTACAAACTGCCCGGCGGGGCGGTGCACCCCGGTGAGCACCTGGTGGATGCCGCCATTCGCGAAGTCCTGGAGGAGACGGGGGTTCACACCCAGTTCGAATTGCTCGCTTGTTTTCGCCACTGGCACGGTTACCGCTACGGCAAGTCCGACATCTACTTTGTGTGCCGCCTCAGCCCGTTAAGTAGCGAGATTACTATGCAGGAAGAGGAAATCGAAGAATGCTTGTGGATGCCAGTCGATGACTACCTGATTTCCGAGGCCACAAGTATTTTCAACCGTCGAATAGTAAGAGCAGCCCTGGAACATCCTGGAATTGTACGGGGAAAGTCTTCAAGGATTTGATGACCGGGAGCGCGAGTTCTTCATGCCCCAACCATGGTAGCTAAGCTTATTGGGTTCGTCTTCGGGGAGGGAGAGGTGTCTTCTCCCTCCTCTCATTTTTCACCACTCCACTACCAGGCAGCGGCGTGACCGTCACCTCGAGGGTCCGAAGCTCCCTTTAGAACCCCAGTGTTCGGGTCGCGGACAATTAGCTGAACCTTGCCGTCATTGATTCCAGGTCGCCGCCGCACCACTTTGTGGCCCAAGGCTTCCAATTCTTTGCCCGTCTCCAGTGGCATGCCAGCTTCCAGTCTCAATTCAGAGGGCGTTTTCACACTCGCCGGGTCGGTGCCAGGGAAGCTCCACCAGCGAGGAGCCTCAACAGCCTCCTGCGGGTCCATGCCGTAATCGATAAGGTTGGCCAAAACTTGAAGGCCACACTGAGGCTGGTAGTCGCCTCCGGGCGTTCCGCCAACGATAACCGGCTGGCTATCCTTGAAAGCCATGTAGCAGTTCAAAGTGTGCATGGTGCGCTTTCCAGGTTCGATAACATTGGGATGGCCTGGTTCGAGGCTGAATCCGCGCCCACCCCGGTTATTGAACAGCACTCCTGTGCCGGCGGCTACAAATCCGGAACCAAAGGCATTGGAAAGGCTATGGATCCAGGACACGCAGTTCCCGGCACCATCCGCCACGCAGAAGTATGTAGTATTGCCGTCGCCGTCTTCATGTGCCGTCGCCATACCATTGTTGGCGCGCGCTTGGTCGATTTCGCCGCGCCTCCGGTCGGCATATTCCTTCGAGATTAGTTCCTCCAACGGCCATTCAACGAACCGAGGGTCTCCAGACAGCCTGTTCCGGTCCTCATAGGCAATTTTCTTGGCTTCCGTCATCAGGTGAATAGACTCGGCTGAATTTTGGCCAAGCGATTCCAGGTCAAAGCCTTCAACCAGGTTTAGCATCTCCAACAATAAGAACCCCTGGGTGGGTGGCCTGGTCTGGTAGACCACATGATCCCGGTAGTCAGTGGCTATGGGGTCGTAGACGTCCAGCCGGTGGTCGGCAAAGTCGGATTCAGTGAACAGCCCGCCTGCCTTTCTCAACTCTTCAACCATGCGGCGGGCCAGATCGCCACGGTAAAACTCGTTGGCGCCTCCCTCCGCAACCTGTTGCAGGCTACGGGCCAGGTCAGGATTGGCAAGCATTTCCCCTTCGGCTTTCATTCCCCCGTTTGACGAATAGATCGCGGCACTGGCCGGAAACTGGGCAAGCTTGTCCACTGCATGGGCAAAGCTGCGGCCTATGCCAGGCGACACTGGAAATCCTTCTTCAGCATAGCCAATAGCACTCCCCAGTAACTGGCTGAAAGGCAAGGTACAAAAGCGCCGGTGCATTTCTTCCCATGCCGCAACCTCCCCGGGAACCGATATGGAGTGGGGGCCGTCAATGGGCATGACTTCATGGCCTCTTGAACGGTAGTACTCTGCCGTAGCCCCCGTTGGAGCCGCCCCACTGCTGTTGATACCCGTCAACTGACCGGTGGCGGCCTCGTAGACAAGGATGAAAGAATCCCCTCCCATGCTGGACAGAGGGACCAACGTTACCGCCTCGGTCGCAGCTACAGCCAAGGCTGCATCAAAGGCATTACCGCCCTGCTGCATAACCTGGATTCCGGCAGACGCAGCCAAGGGTGAATTGGAGCATACGATGCCCTTTCGACCATAGACCAGGCTGCGAGACAGATTTCCTGTAACCATATTGCCTCCCTGTTGACGCTTCACTGGGCAGGTTGAGGTCTATCAAATCTTGTGCTTTCCAGGGAATGGAGGTTTCAGCCTAATTAGGCAGCAACCATTGGCGTGGCAATTGCAGGCGTTAATCGGCGCTGCCCGTATAATTGCTCAGTTCTTGAAGGCATTGCAGGCCGTCGTCAGCGCCGCCGTTCCACCCATAACAAAGGCCACGCCAACCGTTTCGGCGATCTCTTCCTCAGTTGCGCCGACGGCACGCGCACGGTTGGCAATGTTCTTTACCCCGTCCGGGTGTGCCATAATCGCGTCGCAAAGCATGGTCATCAATACTTTAACCTTCAGCGGCAGGGCCCCGTCTGTTAGTACGTGGTTCCTGACGTCCATTATTTCCTTGTAAAGTTCCGGTGAGTTATTTTCCAGTTTTGCTTGCCAGGCGCCAGGATTTGGTAGCGTCATCAGTTATTTCTCCAACCTGTTCTTTGCGCAAACGCTGCGTTTCCAATGTTGTGGTATTTCGAGCCCTAAATTGGCGGCTTTCGGTCGTGCCAGGGTGTAGCCTGCTCGTAGGCGTAGGCAACATTCAGCACAGTAGCTTCTTCGTATGGTCGCCCGGCGATCTGCAACGCAAGCGGCAGACCGCCGTCGCCCGGGTCTGTATAGCCACAAGGTATGGACAGGGCCGGCGCTCCGCTCAGGCTGTATGGCCCACGATAGCTGCCCTCAACCAGGGCCTGGGCCGCTGCTTCCTTGCTGGCTACACCCGTTGTAAAGTCCAGTTTCCCTGCGGGACCAGAGGAGGTAGGCTGAATCAGCACATCCACTTCCCTAAGGGCGTCCAGTACCTGCTGCCGGACAATGGCACGCAGTTTCTGCGCTTTGTAATAGACCTGACCAGGTATCAGGTTCCCGGTCATGAAGGCTATCCGCGTGTTGAAGTGATAATCTTCCGGCCGTTCCCGTACCCATTCGGGCCGCAGGCTCACGCGCTCGGTATGGGTTATGGTTCGCACAATCGGGCCCGTTTGTTGGGCCATGGGCAACGATACCACCTTGACTTCTGCACCCAACTCAGCCAAGACCTGGGCGGCGGCGGCCACAGCATCACGGGTTTGCGGGTCCAGGCCCGAAGCCGTATCCATGAGTTCGGTCACGAGGCCTACTTTCAGTCCCCGGATGTCCCCGGTCAGTGCCGAAATGTAGTCGGGGACAGGCACCCTCCCCGTATAAGGATCGTTGGGGTCGTGTCCTGCGATGGCGCCAATGGTCGCGGCACAATCGGTCACCGTGCGAGAGATGGGACCAATCGTGTCGACCGACCAGCATGCCCCGTCTACGCCGTACCTGCTCACCCTACCCCAGGTAGGACGTAGTCCCACCAGCCCGCAGTTAGCTGCCGGACCGCGTATGGAACCACCGGTGTCTTCACCCAATGATGCGGCGCACAGGAACCCGGCAGTTGCAGCGCCGGAACCAGTGCTCGAAGTACCAGGATTGCGCTCCAGGTCCCAGGGATTGCGTGCGGCGCCGAAATAGGAACTGATCGGGTCCCCCATGGCGAACTCGCTCATGTTCAGCTTGCCAAGAATTATGGTTCCCGCCCGTCGCAAATTTGCGACGACGGTGGCATCGTAATCCGGTACAAACTCTTCGAGGAATTTGGAACCGTCGGAATTCCTTATTCCCTTGACATAAATCTGGTCTTTAACCCCTACAGGCACACCGTGCAGGGGCCCCCGAGGCTTCCCCCTTGCGATTTCTTCGCCAGCCTTCCTTGCATCTTCCCGCGCCTCGTCGGCGCAAACGGTGATGTATGCATTTAGCTTGAGGCCGACTTCCGATATCCGGGACAGATAAGCATCCACCGCTTCCAGAGGAGTGATGTCACTCCTGCCAATGGCTGCACCAAGTTCGGTTGCGGACAAGAAGGGTATGTCACTCGGGTTCATTCTTGCTCCTCCGGGTTCGGCAAAATGAGAGGCAATGGCTCGACGCGGTTAACCCCCGGAGCATCAATGCTCGCCATAGCTTCCAGGATGGCGTTCAGGCTATATCCAACCTGGGTAAGTTCGGGTTCCTCTATATGCAAGCCTACCGAACGACCCAAAGCGTGGATTTCTTCGTTGGTCAGATCCGCCATATAAAACTCCCTCGAATTTTCGAAAAGACTGGCTTCTCAAGTAACCGCAATGGTAACATACGCCGGAACTTTCCGGCCCACCAATGGGTACGTCAGGAGTTCGTTCAGGTGAAGAGGAGGGTCAAGCAACGGACCCCAACTTGGCGTTTGAAGCCCGGTCGCTGCTCATCAGGGAAGTAGAGAGCCGCTCATATGCCACGGCCTAGCGTCTGCTTCGGAGGGAAAACTTGATCGACCAATCAAGACAAACCAGAAATTATCTGTCTCGTGTCCGCGGAATTGCTCTGATGCCCGAGGAACGGGTGGCAAAGGTCTTTTCGCTGGAAGAGGGAGTTCTGGACGAACCATCGGGGAATGGCCAACTGTTGATAGCCACAAATCACAGGATTCTCTTTTTCCGTGATGGAGGCAATGCCAATGAAGCAACGCTGTTGCCGGTGGAAGAGTTGAAAGGCATTGTGGTGGATACAGCTGAAAGAGGCACGTTGTCACCCATTAGAGGCATCCTGACCATGGCCGCGGCGCTTGTGTTTTACTTGTTGGTGGCCTATTGGATGGCAGGGCAGCTTGAGGGACCGGGCATCCCGGGCCTGAACATAGACTTCGTGCCCTTCGTATTGTTGGCAGCGGTTTTGGTCGGCGCCTGGCTGTATTGGAGGCATAACGTCCGCCGGGCTGGAGGGAATATCACCCTTCAAGGCTCCAACTGGAACCTGTCCTTATCGGTTTTGGGTGCGGAGCGAATCCCCGACATACATGCAGTAGTAGAGTGCCTTTTCATCTGTCGTCAGGACCGCTGGGATTCGCTGGTAAGGCCCAAGGACACCTAGACAATCAATGCTCTTCCCATATGGCGCATCCTGGCTTCGTTCGCAAATCAATCGCGACTTGTCCGGGCGCCCGCTTACCCGAGGGGCAACGCTGGATCAATATCCAGTTCCAACCCGAACTCTTGCCCCCGAGTGAATTGGAAGAAGGCGCAGGCCGCTATCATCGCACCATTATCGGTGCAGAGGACCGGCGGTGGGATTATCACTGGCAAATTGGAAGCCCTGTTGATCTCCGCTCGAAGCCTGGCGTTTGCCGTAACGCCGCCCCCCAGAACAATCCCCTTCGCGTTGTAACGGCGCGCCATCTCCAGGGTCTTGACCACCATCACCTCCACCACCGATTCTTGGAAATTGGCCGCCATTTCCGCTATCAAACGCCCGGTCTTTTCATCGTTTTCATTTGTGCCGACCAAGCCCGGGTCTGCGGGATAAACCCCCTTGGCCTGTGCCAGGTGGAGTAATGCGGTTTTAACCCCACTAAAGCTGAAATCAAGGGTTTCCCGCATCCACGCTCGCGGAAGGGGAGGAATATCACCCGGTTCGGCCCGTTCCGAGGCTTTCTGGATTTCCGGCCCCCCGGGAAATCCCAGGCCAAGTATGCGGGCCGCTTTGTCAAAGGCCTCTCCGGCGGCGTCATCTCTTGTCCTGCCTACCAGGCGATAATCCCCGTGGCCCTCCATAAGTATCAGGTCGGTGTGGCCACCGGAGGCGACCAGGCAGGCCAGTGGGAAGCCTGGTGAGTCCTCAGGACGGGAATCGTTGCCCGTGGCCAGCCAGGAGGCATAGATGTGGCCCTCCAGATGGTTTACGCCGATTAGTGGCTTGCCCAGGCTGAAAGACAGGGCTTTGGCAGTATTTAAACCCGTTAGCAACGATCCCGCCAGCCCCGGTCCGTAGGTCGCAGCTATCACGTCGACTTCTGACAGGGGGATTCCGCCGTCAAATAATGCTCTTTCAACCGCGGGCGTCATATCCCTTATATGTTGCCGAGATGCTACTTCCGGTACAACCCCACCGTAGGGAGAGTGGAGTTCTACCTGGGACGATACAATATTGGACAAGAGGCGGCGGCCATCTTCAACTATGCCTACCGCAGTCTCGTCGCACGAAGTTTCAATACCCAGAATCTTGAGTCCCATCCTGTTCCCGTCCAAATTATGCTTAGATTGCTAGTCCTGAAAACCACTGCGGCGGCAGGGCATACCATGAAACCAACGTGATTCCACTGCCGTTGACAATACAACAGACATGGTAGAATCGCCGAGCATAGCGGTCAACTTTACACTACAAACCTGCAAATGCTATCATCCTTCCCGTAACAACGCATTAAGGTTTATTGCGTTTGGTGAACATAATTATTTCAACCCCCAGGAGGCGATAGAGTTCCAAAATGGAGTCAGACGATTTAGGTAGGTTAATCCTCCTTGGAATCTGCCTTGGTTTGTCCGCCTTTTTCTCATCTTCAGAGACCGCTTTCATTGCATTGCCCAGGGCCCGCTTGCTTCACCTATTAAGCATCGGGCGCCACAACGCCAAGCTGGTGGAACGCCTCATTGCCAGACCTGAGCGGCTTCTAGCCACAGTCTTGCTAAGCAATAATATGGTCAACACGGCCGCCGCTGCCCTTGGCACCGCCGTTGCCCTCAATATGATCGAAAACGATGGTTTGGCGGTATTGGTGGCTACGGCGGGCGTTACTTTGCTCCTTTTGATTTTCAGTGAAACTCTTCCCAAGACAGTAGCCTGGAACCGTTCTGAGGCCTTGGCATTCGCCTACGCGCGGCCCCTTTCCATAGTCCAGTACGTTTTGTATCCCGGCGTCAGGGTTCTCCAGACCATCACGAACCTCTTTACCAGGGTCCTGGGAATTACCAACTCCAACGATCGAATAAGCGAGGGTGAAATAAGATCTTTGATCGAAGCCGGCGCTCAGACCGGTGCCGTTGAACGGACGGAAGCCGAATTGCTGGACAAAGTATTCCGGTTCGGAGACCAAAAGGTGCAGGAAATAATGACCCCTCGGACGGAAATCGTCTGGGTCGAGCAGGGAACCACGCTAAAGCGTTTCCTGGCTCTCTATGCTGAACACACCCACACCCGGTTTCCGGTTTTTGACGGCGACATAGAGAACGTGGTGGGCGTCCTGTCAAACAAGGATGTGTTGCTGGCCTTGGGTAAGGGTGAAGTGGAACTTGAAGACAGCGTGACCGGCCTGTTGAGAGAAGCTCATTTCGTTCCGGAAACGAAGAGCGTTTCTGACACCTTTTCGGAAATGCAGCAAGCCGGGTACGGCCTGGTTTTGACCGTCGACGAATTCGGGGGGATTGCCGGACTCGTCACTCTAAAGCAAATGCTTGAGGTCATTGTTGGCCAAGTGGACGAAGAGCGAGACGATGTTGATGACGAAGTTACGCAGGTGGACGAGAATACTTACCGGATAAATGCAGGCATCACCATTATCCAAGCCAACGAGAGGCTTCGCCTGGATCTTCCCGAAGGAGAATACCAGACATTGGCTGGCTTTATCCTCGACCGTCTCGGCTATATTCCGGAAGCTGGAGAGATAGTCGAATACAGAAATCTTAAGCTAACCGTGCGCTCCATGAGTGGAGTAAGAATAGAACAGGTACTCGTTCAACAAGTCGAACCGGCCACTGAAGGGGTTACGCGGTGAAGTTCTACCTGGTCCGCCACGGAGAAACCGAGTGGAACAAGCTGGGGCGTTTTCAAGGCCAGTACGATACGCTCTTGAACAAGACGGGTCTTGAGCAGGCCAGATCAACCGCGATGGCTGCTCAGCAGTGGGGAATTACCTCTATCTATTCCAGTCCTCTGAAACGGACAATGCAGGTAGCGGAGGAAATGGCCAAGATGCTGGCGATACCTGTTGAAACCAGGGAAGGGCTGAAGGAACTGGCCCTGGGCGAACTGGAAGGTGTGAAAGGTGAGGAGATGCGGGCGGGTTGGCCTGAAGTCTTTGAAACCTGGAACTCCCGCCCTGAGCTTACCGTAATGCCTGGAGGGGAGTCCCTACAGACCCTGGAAGAAAGGGCCTGGCAGGTTATCCTGGAACTGGAACAAACCCACAGCCCCGGTGAAGGCCTGGCGATAGTCTCGCATAACTTCACAATCAGGGCCATTTGCGGGAAGCTGCTCGGTATCCCCTTGGCTAACTTTCACCGGTTGCACCTTGCGCTTAGCTCTGTAAGCGTTTTTGAGAGCGCCCCAAGGGGTAGGCGCCTTCTATCCTACAATTCTACCGGCCACTTACACACTGTTGCTCCTTCGGTATCCGCTTAGCGCCGCTAACCTATGCCGGTAGTTTCTGATGTAGACAGGAGAGTGGCTGCTTCATTGCGGCGGACCGGCCTGGCTCACAACAATTCTACTCTGGTAGTTGGCGTGTCGGGCGGGGCCGATTCCTCAGCCCTGCTTTACAGCCTCAATCACATCAGGCAATCCTGCGGAATTATCCTGCACGTAGCCCACCTGAACCATGACTTCCGCGGTGAAGAGGCCGACGAAGACGCCAGGTTCGTTGAAGCTATGGCGCAGACTCTCGGGCTCCCGGTTACAGTTGAGAAACGTGACCCAATTGCCTACCAGAAGGAACAAGGCATCTCCTCCTTTGAGCAGGGCGCCAGGGAGATGCGGTACGAATTCATGGCGACAGTGGCCCAGAGAATAGGGGCTACAGCAGTGGCTGTGGGCCACACCTCCGACGATCTGGCAGAGACGGTACTGCTGCACATTCTCCGGGGCGCTGCCCTGCCGGGTATGAGAGGCATGACCGAAATTGCCCCATGGCCCTGGCCCACCGGGCTTGCCAGCCCGCTGCTCTTCCGACCATTGCTTGAGGTAACCAAGGCTGAAACAGTCGAATACTGCCGGGAACTGGACCGGGAATATCGGCAAGACAGCGGGAACTATTTGTTCCGATTCACCCGCAATCGGGTCCGCCGGGAACTGATGCCCCTTTTGGCTGCTGAGTATAATCCCCGGGTTCAGGATGCGCTGGTCAGGCTGGCCCAAACATCTTCCCTTGAGTTGGACTATCTGGAGAAGGAACTGGAACGCCTATGGCCGGCAATCCATGTTTCCCCACCTCAAGATAACGGCAAGGGAGTACAGGGAGCACGCGTCACACTGAGCCGTGAAGCCCTGCGGGACTTGCATCCGGCATTGCGGCCAATGGCCCTGCGGCGGGCGTACATCGCCGTCAATGGAGATCCCCGGCGCTTGAGGGAAAGCCATTTGAGGGCTATGTCCGACCTCGTTTCAGGCCAGAAGCCAAGAGCCAGCCTGGATTTGCCTCGTAATACCATCTTTCAGATGACTCCGACTGAGACAAGCCTTGGCCCCGATGCAATCCAGGGCCAAACTCCTTTTCCCGACCTGAACTCTTTCCACGAGCTAACAACGTCGGAGGCACCGGGATCTAGGCAGGTATGTAACGCGGGGAATTGGAACGTAACTCTGGAAGTAATCCCATCGGGCACACTGGCCAATTTGGCGCCACCCGATGCCTTCACTGCCTATCTGGAACCTAAAGCCTTGGGCAGTTCTCTTGCGGTGCGGACGCGCCATGATGGCGACAGATTTCAGCCTTTGGGCATGGCAAGGGGAAAGAAGCTTAAGGATTTCTTCATAGACGCAAAGGTGCCCGTGCAGTGGCGGAACAATATTCCATTGGTAGTGTCGGAAAGGGGAATAGCGTGGGTGGTTGGCTACCGGATCGCTGAATGGGCCAAGGTGCCGGACGGTCTTGCGCCGGAAGGCAACATTTTGAGAGTGTCTTTCGACCGGGCTGATTGACCTGTATTGCTGGCTGGCGCAGGTCCAATCAATTAAAGTTAATCTTCCAGTTGTTTCGCCAGCGATTCGGCATCGGTTACGGGTAATTGGCACACATAGTTCTGGCACACATACGCAATGGGCCCGCCGTTCAGTTTTTCTCGCCCCTCCAACAAGGGTATCCCATCAGTGGGTGACCTATCTGTATCACTGTAAGGGGACTGTGCAGGGTCCAGCCCTACCACGACCTTGTTTGGTAGATAGCGTCCAAACACCTCATCCCTCAGCGCCTCGGTATCAGGATCGCCTGCCGGCCCTATCACGGCTATTTCCTTGGGGATCGACACGTAGAAATCCAATACCCCAAGCCAGTACGCCGCTCCACCCGGGGCCTGAGACATCACCCTACTGATCGGCCTTAAGGGCTGGGAGCCCTTGAGGTTGTAGTCTTCGTTCCCGGTAAGTATGGCCAAGCGGAGCAATACCTCCGCCGCAACGGAACCGCCGCATGGCTGAGCATTGTCGAAAACATCCCTGGGCCTCGTTACCAGCGACTCGTGCTCTGTGCCTGTGTCGAAAAACCCTCCAACTCCATCGTCCCAAAAGAGTTCGATCATGGTGTCGGCCAGCATAACGGCCCGGTCCAGCCAAACTCGCTCGAAAGTGGCCTCATAAAGAGCTAGATAACCGTCGGCCACACAAGAATAGTCTTCAAGGAAACCCTGCAACTTGGCCTGACCATCACGGTAGGTGCGCAGCAGTCGACCATCTTTGAACATCTCATTGTGTAGGAAATTAGCATTGGCCGAGGCGGCGGCCAGGTAATCAGGCCGCTTTAGGGTCACTCCGGCCTCGGCGAAAGCCCTGAGCATCAATCCGTTCCACGAGGAAATTACCTTGTCATCTCTGAAGGGGTGAATCCGTTCCTCCCTTTCAGTCAACAAGTGCACTTTACCCCGGGCGACTATGGAGTTCAGATACCCCTCGCTAATCCCGTGGTCCAACGCAAAAGCCTGGGGATCCTGCGGCACGTTCAATATATTTGAACCCTCGAAATTACCGGCGTCGGTAACCCCGTAAAACCCTCCAAACAGATTCCCGTCGGCGTCTCCCAGAATTGCCCGTATTTCATCAGGTGTCCAGACAAAGAACTTTCCCTCAACTCCTTCGCTGTCGGCGTCCTGAGCAGAGTAGAACCCCCCCAGCGAGTCCGTCATCTCCCTGAGAACATAGTCCAGGGTCTCCTCAGTTATCCGGCGATAAAGTTCCTTGTTCGTTAACTGATAGGCATGAAGATAGAGTCGGGCCAGTAGCGCATTGTCGTAAAGCATTTTCTCGAAGTGGGGCACCAGCCAAAAGGCATCGGTTGAGTAGCGGTGAAATCCGCCGCCCAATTGGTCGTACATGCCCCCGTATGCCATTTTCTGTAGCGTGAGCTCCACCATATCCAGGGCTCGGGGATTGTAGCCGTGGCTGTAGTAGCGAAGGAGAAATTCTGGAGTCATGGGCTGCGGAAACTTTGGGGCAGCCCCAAAGCCGCCATTCTGGTAATCAAAGTTCGCTGCCAGACGCGAATACGCCTCGTGAAGAACATCCACAGAAAGGAGATTGTTGCCTTGTGGCAATTGACCCGACCGCCCCATCTGCTCGGTCAGTTGGCCGGTTACACGCTCCACCTCGCTCCGGTTTGTGCGGTAGGCTTCGGTAACTGCTAGCAAGACCCGTGGAAAGCCAGGCATATTCATCCGGTCGGTTGGCGGAAAATAGGTGCCTCCGTAGAAGGGCTTGCACTCCGGCGTGAGGAAAACGGTCATGGGCCAGCCGCCACTGCCCGTCAGCATCTGGACAGCTTCCATGTAAACGGCGTCCAGGTCAGGCCGCTCCTCCCGGTCCACCTTAATGTTGACGAAGTTTGCATTCATCAAGCTGGCGATGGATTCGTCCTCAAAGGACTCCCGCTCCATCACATGGCACCAGTGGCAGGCGGAATACCCGATGCTTAGTAGAATAGGTTTGTCCTCATCCCTGGATCTCGCCAGCGCCTCCTCATTCCAGGCATGCCACTCCACGGGGTTATTAGCATGTTGGAGCAGGTAAGGGCTGGTTTCGTTAATCAATCGGTTGGGCATGATTTTCTATTTCCTGACCTTGGGCCATTTTTTTCTAGCATTGTTGAACATTTCTTCCCGCCAACTCGTCAGCCAGCCGGCTTAGCAGGTCAGTTACCGGCATGGCGCCCAAGTTGCCTCCCTCACGAGTACGTACGGCTACTGCGTCGTCATCCTGTTCCCGGTCTCCCACAACCAGCATGTAGGGAATCTTCTGCAGCTGGGCATTGCGTATCTTGAGGTTCATTCGCTCACTGCGACCGTCTACCTCAGTTCTGAAACCCTTGGATTCCAGCCGGGTCTTTACTGACTCCGCATATTCCTGATGACGGTCGGCGATGGGAATTACTACTGCTTGGGTGGGAGACAGCCACAGCGGGAAGGCACCGGCATAGTGCTCAATAAGAACTCCCAGAAATCTTTCAAGTGATCCCAGTATCGCACGGTGGACCATGAAGGGTCTGCTCCGGCCTCCTTCGGAGTCCATGAATGAAAGGTCGAACCGCTCAGGTAAGTTGAAATCAAACTGGACCGTGGTGCACTGCCAGTCGCGACCCAGGGCGTCCTTAATCTTGATATCGATCTTGGGGCCGTAGAAGGCTCCACCGCCATCATCAATATCGTAAACCAGGCTGCGCTGTTCCAGTGCTCGACGCAGGGACTCGGTAGCATGCTCCCACAGATCCAACTCGCCGGCGTAGCTCTCCGGCCTTGTGGAAAGGGATATGGAAAAATCAGTGAAACCGAAAGCGTCCAGCAGTTCAAACGTCAGGTCAAGTACCCCACCCACTTCGGACTCCACTTGTTCCGGAAGGCAGAAGATATGGGCGTCGTCCTGGGTGAACCCCCTTACCCTCATAAGCCCGTGGAGTACACCGCTCCGCTCGTAGCGGTAAACCGTTCCCAACTCCGCTATTCGTAAGGGCAATTCCCGGTAGCTCCTCAGCGAAGACCTGTAAACCATGATGTGGAAGGGACAATTCATGGGCTTTAGGAAGTATTCCTGCTCGTCCACTTCCAAAGGCGCATACATGCTGTCCCGATAGTGGGACAGGTGGCCGCTGGTCTCCCAAAGCTGGGCCCGACCTATATGGGGAGAATACACAATGCTGTAGTCGTGCCGGTAGTGGATGTCTCGCCAGTAGTCCTCCACGAGAGAGCGTACTACCCCGCCCTTGGGATGCCACACAATTAGTCCCGGCCCTATTTCCTCATGCACTGAGAAAAGGCCCAACTGGCGGCCCAGCGTGCGGTGGTCGCGGCGTTCAGCCTCTTCCAGCCTTGTCAAGTAATCGTCTAGGGCCTGCTGCGTTTCCCAGGCGGTGCCATAGATCCGCTGCAGCATTGGCCGGCGCTCGTCGCCCCGCCAGTAGGCGCCGGCGATATTCAACAGCTTTACGGCCTGAATATCCGCCGTGCCATCCACATGGGGGCCCTGGCAGAGGTCTATGAAGCCTCCGTGGCGATAGATGCTGAGGGTAGTATCTTCAGGAAGGTCGCCGATGATCTCGAGCTTGTATGGCTGGTCAGCAAACAAATCCAAGGCTTCTTTCCGACTAAGCTCCTCTCTCAGGAAAGGCTGCCGGTCAGCGATTGTTTGTCGCATTAAGTTTTCAATGCTTTCCAGATCTTCAGGAGTGAAAGGGCGGGAAACGTCGAAGTCGTAATAGAAACCGTCCTGAGTCGGGGGCCCGATGCCCATTTTCGCTTCCGGAAAAACCTTCAATACAGCATCGGCCATGACGTGGGCCGCAGAATGCCGCATTCGATGGCGCAGGGCGTCGGTAGCATTAACATTGGAATGGTCAAGCGATCCGTGGTCCAGCATAAAGACATCCTGTAGTGTGTCGGAAACAATCTGCAGGTAAGTTACCAATTGTTCGAAGGCCCGAACAGCCGGGCCAACCAATTATACTCAACATACCTGAAGAAAGATAACGGGGCCATTGCTTGTGCGCGCCATTTTCCTGGCGCAACCTGAAAGTAGATAGCAAAAGCATTGGAAGTCAGGGACCGTAGAATGCGTGTCTTAGGCTGCGCTGTCGAATGGCCCGCAAGAGTTGGTCCCTGATTGTGATGCCGTACACTGCGGCGACGAACAGGGTCAAGGGTAGGCACAGCACAAACTGTTCCCACCCTGGGCTTGCAACCAGCCAGTCGACTCCAAGAATCCAAGCTGCCAATACCAGAATATTCAGAGTGGCAAATCCCAGCACCAGCCCGGCAATTGCGTTCTTTGAGAAATAAAGCAAGATAACTCCAGGTATCACGGCAAGCATGCCGGCAACTGGCACCGTAGCCAGGCATATGCCCATGAGGGAGGCAGCTCCTTTGCCCCCACGAAACTTCATCAGTACGGTCCAGTTGTGCCCAACGATAACCAGGACTCCCGTCACATACACTGCCCAGTCGGCTACACCTATCCACGAGGGGAGCAGGACTGCCAATGCCCCCTTACCCGCATCGAACACAAAAACCAGCAGAGCCCACCAGGGCCCAAGTTGACTGTAGGTATTGAGGGTCCCTGCATTCTTGCTGCCCACATCCCGTATGTCCAGTTGCTTCATATAACGAACGAGGACGTATGACGGGGAAATAGAACCAATAAGATACGCAGCTAAGCCCAGTAGCGCTATTGCAATAATTTCCAAGAGTGAACCTCATAGAAAGTTGGTAGCCTCAGGCAATTGGTGGAGAGATGCTGGCTCCCCTTCATTGCCAACTGAAAAATTCTATCAACCCAGCAGATTGAAGGCAACGTGGGTTCCGCCTTATCGGAACCTGAAACCAACTGGCAAAACAAGAACGATAAACGTATAATTTAAAATTGGAAACCGTATCAGCAATAGACAGTGTTTCACGTCTGAAGAACGTGAACCACAAGATTTTAAGGTGAAGGCATGGAAGACTTAAGGCAAGAACTAGAGGCATTGGTGCAAAAGATCGAATCCGTAGTGGAGCATCTTTGACCTTCCGGCTAAGGAACAAACAATAACACTGATGGAGCGTGAAGCAGCCGAGCCAGGATATTGGGATGATCCGCGTAAAGCCCAACAGGACATGAAAGCCCTGGGCAGCCTCAAGGAGACGTTCTCCCTCTGGCAGAGTTTGTCTACCCAGGCAAGCACTTTGTTGGAGCTTACGGAATTGGCCCTGGAGGACGGGGACGAGTCCCTCCTGGAACAGATAGGCGTTGACACTGCCGAGTTGTCTAAGTCCCTGGCCCGTGAGGAAATTGCCCTGACTCTGGCGGGCCCGTACGACGGTCGGCCTGCCATTGTGTCGGTCTATTCAGGGGCCGGAGGCACCGATTCCCAGGACTGGGCAGAAATGCTGCTCAAAATGTACGCCCGTTGGGGCGAGGTAGAGAAGCGGACGGTCCAGATTATGGACATGGCCTACGGCGACGAAGCGGGCCTGCGCAGCGCAACCCTGGAAATAGGCGGGCCCTACGCCTACGGTTACTTGAGCGCCGAAAGAGGTGTCCACCGACTGGTGCGCTTATCCCCTTACGATCCCAACAACCTGCGGCACACTTCGTTTGCCCAGGTAGAAGTGTTACCAGCGGCAGGAGAGGAAGAAGAGGTCGCTGTGAGGCCTGAAGAGATAAAGCTGGACACCTTCCGCTCTAGCGGTCCTGGCGGCCAAAATGTCCAGAAAGTAGCCTCCGCGGTACGTCTAACGCATTTGCCCACTGGGATGGTTGTTTCGTGCCAGACCGAAAGGTCCCAGCACCAGAACCGGGAGTACGCCATGCGAATATTGATGGCCCGGTTGCTGGCACGGCAAAACGCTCAGCGCGCAGAGGAGTTAGCCAAACTAAAGGGAGAGAGGGTCGCGGCAGAGTGGGGTAACCAGATACGCAGCTATGTGCTGCACCCCTACAAGTCGGTTAAGGATCACCGCACCAATTTCCAAAGCGCCAATCCCGATGCGGTACTCGACGGAGGACTGAACGACTTTATCGAGGCATACCTGATATCGCGGTTGAATTGACCAACGACATATTCCAGCTAGTTGTCCGGTTGCAGGCTGGAAACAAAAGAGGGGCTGACCAAATTTGGTCAGCCCCTCTGCATTTCAGCGGCTTACCTGGCGGCTAAGAGCATGATCCAAGAATATGACCTAACTTTACCCGCTTGGTTTCGAGGTAATCGCGGTTCTCGTCGTTGGGTGGAACTTCAACCTGGACCCGTTCCACCACTTCAACTTCGGAACCTGACAGCCCCACCAATTTCTTGGGGTTGTTGGTGAGCAGCTTTATCTTCTTGATTCCCAGATCGGCCAAGATCTTGGCTCCAATGCCATAGTGGCGCATATCTGTGTCAAAGCCAAGCAGGTTATTGGCTTCAATCGTGTCCAACCCGCCATCCTGCAGGGAATAAGCCTTTATCTTGTTGTGAAGGCCAATGCCCCTGCCTTCCTGCCGCATGTAAAGGAAGGCGCCGGTCCCTTCCTCGCTCAATCTCTTAAGGGCCAATTCCATCTGTTCGCCACAGTCACACCGCATGCTTCCGAATACGTCCCCCGTCAGGCATTCGCTATGAATCCTGGTCAGGACCGGTTGGTCAGGACTCCACTCACCCAGAGTTAACGCAATATGCTCGCCGGGATCGAAAGGACTCTCATAGGCAAAGACCTTGAATTCCCCGTACTTGGTAGGCAAGCGGGCTTCCGCCACCCGTGTTACATTGGCTTCGTAACGTCGCAGGTATGCGACAATCTGAGCAATGCTCAGAATCTTCAGACCATGCTGGTCGGCGAAGGTTTCAAGGTCAGGCAGGCGTGACATTGAGCCGTCGTCGTTCATTATTTCGCAAACAACGCCGGCTGGGTACATCCCTGCTATGGAGCACAAGTCTACGATCGCCTCGGTGTGCCCAGGACGGACAAAAACACCGCCCGGCTGGTATCGCAAAGGGAAGAGATGACCAGGGCGCGAAAACTCGTCAGGCCTTGCCTCGGGATCAATTAGGGCGCTGATGGTTGCGGCGCGGTCTGCAGCTGAGATTCCAGTGGTTGTACCCACTTTATAGTCCACTGACATGGTAAACGCAGTGGGCATTTCATGCGGAGCGTGCTCACTCTCAATTAGCTTGATCCCCAACTCGTCGAGACGATCCGACTTCATCGGCATACACAGCAGACCCCGTCCGTACTTAACCAGGAAATTGACAGCGTCTGGCGTGACCATTTCGGCGGCCATTACCAAGTCGCCTTCGTTCTCCCGCTTCTCGTCGTCAACAACTACCAGAAACTTGCCAGCTTTGAGGTCAACTAGGGCCTCTTCCATGCTAGATAGAGGCATAGTGCTTACCCGTCTCCTCGAAAAACCGATCCTGCTCTCGCCTCCCATCCATTCACCGGCTCCCAGAAAATCAGCTATCTGGCAAGTAAGCTCTCGACGTACTTTGCCAGGATATCCACTTCCAGATTGACCCGGTGCCCTGCCGATTTTTCTTCTAAGTTGGTATTAGAGAGGCTGTATGGTATCACAGAAACGGTGAAGGATGCAGCCCCTTTTTTGACCACCGTCAAGCTGATTCCGTCCAACGCGATGAAGCCCTTTTCCACCACATAAGGCATCAATCGCTTGGGCGTCCGTATCCGGAATATGAAGCAATCACCTTCCGGACGAATTGACATAACTCTGCCCGCGGCATCCACATGTCCCTGAACAATGTGCCCCCCCAACCGATCGCTTACCGCTAGGGGGCGTTCGAGATTTACCCGCCTCCCAACCTCCAGTTCCCTCAGAGAAGTTCGCCGGAGTGTTTCTGGAGCCAGGTCTACCCTGAAATGACTCTCGTCGAACTCCACAACCGTTAGGCAAGTTCCGTTCACGGCAATACTGTCGCCCAGCCGCAGGTCTTCGGTTACCTTCTTCGCCTTCACGGCAAGGCCATATTCCTGGCAGACGCTTACAGTCCCTACTTCTTCTACTATTCCAGTGAACATAAACCTCCACCTTAAGGAGTCCTGTTGGGATACCCCGTTATGAGCCAATCGGGCCCTATCTGCCTGATCTCAGTCTTGTCCACTTTCCAAGCCTGGGACATGAACTCTGGCCCATGCCCCTCAATAGGTGAGGAGGCTTGGCTTCCCCCGATAATGACCGGTGCAATGAAGACGTTAACCTTGTCCACCAGACCCATGTCAAACAGGCTCCCCAAAATAATGCCGCCGCCCTCAACCAGCAGGCTCACGACGTCACGATGCCCCAATTCCACTAGGACTTCGCTCATTTCGACCATTCCCGGAGAATGCAGGGGCCCACTCCAGACCTCGGCTCCCGCCGCCCGCAGTCGCTCAATTTCCTGGCCCGGGGCTTCACCGGAAGCGATGATCAGCGTCGTCCCGGGTTCCCTGAGCATACGAGCCTCGCTGGGTGTCCGGCAATGACTGTCCAGCACTACCCGAAGAGGCTGGCGGTTCAAGGCAGATCCGTCATGGGCCCGGGCAGTTAGCTGGGGATCGTCGGCAAGCACGGTATTGATTCCTACCATGATGGCGTCACACTCCCGCCGCATCCGCTGCACCTCATCCCGCGCCAAGGGGCCGCTCACCCACTTGGAATCGCCCGTATAGGTAGCAATCTTTCCATCCAGGCTCATGGCAAACTTGGCCAATACAAACGGCAACCCGGTGGTAACATGCTTGGCAAATCCTTCGTAAAGTTCGCCAACGTCGGAGCAGGGTTCTAAGGTGGCTTCAACGCCGGCGACCCGCAGCTTCTCCAGGCCCTTGCCCCCGACCAGCGGATTCGGGTCAATGGAGGCGGCTATGACCTCCCTAACACCAGCAGAAATTATGGCGTCAGTGCAAGGGGGTGTCCTGCCGAAGTGGCAGCAAGGTTCAAGAGTCGTGTACAGAGTGGATCCTTTGGCCAGAGGCCCTGCCTGTTGCAAGGCTCCGATTTCAGCGTGCCGTTGTCCCGGTGGAAGCGTATAACCTTCTCCGGCAATGATCCCATCCTGGACCACTACGGCTCCTACCGCGGGATTGGGACTGGTGCTACCCAGTGCTCCTCGGGCCAGGTCGATTGCTCGTTGCATGGGGTGACTAACGCTCATTGGCATTGGCCGGTAGCCAACCTCCCACTATGTTTCGACGGGGACCGGAGCGGGGCCAGGAAAATTCTTCAGCTTGATACGCCAAAGTCGCGATGGAAACGGCTGGCCGTAGGTTCTGTCTGCCCCTGGTATTTGCTGCCCAGGGACTCGGAGCCATACAATCGCTCTGCAGGGGTTGTCAGAGTCAGGAACGAAATCTGGCCAATCTTCATCCCGTAATAGAGCGTTATGGGCAACCGTGCCAGGTTACTCAGCTCCAGGGTCAGATTGCCTTTCCACCCGGGGTCCACAAAACCGGCCGTGGAGTGAATGACCAACCCGATTCTCCCAAGGGAACTCTTGCCTTCAAGCCGGGCGACCAAGTCCTCAGGAAGTTCTATGTGCTCTACGGTGCTGCCCAATACAAAGTCGCCGGGATGCAGAATAAATGGTTTGTCTTCGGGAATCTCGACCAGATCGCTGAGGGTTTCCAGACTTTCCTTAACGTCGATGTAAGGCTGCTGGTGGTTTCCGAACACCAGGATTTTCCGATCAAGGTGCAGGTCAACGCTGGCAGGCTGAATATCCGAATCGTCCAAAGGATCAATTACGATTCTGCCCTCGGCCAAAGCTTGTTTGATTGTTCGGTCACTCAATACCATGGAATCCCACCATGATGTAGTCCCATGAATACTTCGGCCTTGCGAACCAGTAGCCCCGCCACTTCCCGGGGCCACTGTGATTCTAAAGGTCAGTCCTTTTCAAGACAACCTTCTTCAATGTCCTGTTCAGGGCAATGTAGCACATATCCAGAAAGACTAGGGTGTTTCTGATTCATCCGTACTCTCGTCCACATCGGGATAAGTTATCAGGTATTGGCCCTGAACACTTACCTCTATCGAGACTTCCCCCGGCGAGATGGGAGTAGATACAGCACCATCGAAGTCGGCCGCAGCCTTGGAGAGGGCAAACTCTGCCCTGACTACGGGGGGATCGATCCTGCCAACTTCAGCTATATAAACCAGGTCACCCAATCCAACGCCACCCAGGGTAGCCAAGTGTTCGGCTCTTCCCTTCAAGTCGGTTACCGCAGCAGTGCGAGCATCAACTTTTAGCGTCGAAGTATCTTCCAGCGAGAACAAAAGGCCGTTGAAGCGTATGTTGTCCCCTCCAGCCTCAACTGCTCCATCAATCACGTCGTCGATGGTTTCAAGGTCGCGAATTATCACGGTGACACTGTTGCTGACCTGATATCCGGTTATAACCGACTGGTATTCCTGGAAGCACTCTTCGCCCACGGCCGGGGTCAAGTCACCTTGTTCTTTGGTTCCTTCCTGATTGGTTCCTTCCTGACCGGCGTCGTCTTGCTCGGTATCCCCATCCGAAGTCTCAACATCAATGCATCGGGTAACTTCCCTGCCGGTATAACGGGGTTGGATGCTAAAATAGCCTGTTTGAATGTCCTTTTCTTCTACCCCGTCTTCTTTTACCGAAGCTATTACCGCCGTCATGGCCTCGGCAGCCGTGGTGCGCGCTTCGCCAACCGTGTTGGCCAGTGATTCTACGCCCAGCCTCAGCGATGCCAGGTCCGGCGCCGAAGTGGCGCGACCCGAACCCACCGCCAGAATCCCCAAACCGGCTGATTCATTCGCCGAATTCACCAAGGCCTGCCTTTTCCAACCTCCTGTTATTCCTCCTTCATCTTCCGAGTTCCTCAGCATATTGAATCTGGCGTCAATTCCTATTCCCACGCTGTCGCCGCCTAGGAGCAACGGGTCCTCCAGGATGCTTTCCTGCCGCACCGGTTGCCGCTCCACGACAGCGGGGTCGGGAACCTCAACAGTCGTCGCCGCTGTACTTCCTAAGGGTGCCTGCGAAGAGCAAGCCAAGAGCACAACGCTCACTATGCTTAGCCCGAATAATACGAACAATTGCTTAAGTATTTTCTTTGAAATCATTTTTCCCTCTCTTGTCTTGTATTGGACCACTCGAGAAATAAGACGCAATAGACCCCTGCTTTGTTCCCGGTCAACGTGTAGACTTACTTGCCCCTAGAAAGCGGTAGGCCGAGGCTATAGCCAGCACAATTACAATTGCCACCACCGTTGCAATTGCCACCCACCTAGCTTCCAGCCAGGATTCTTCGGGCCTGTCGTCAGCCGCACTACCAGATTCCGAAAAACCTCTGGGAGATTCTTTTTTGAGGCTGTTGTCTCTCTCTATGGCAGCCTGTTCTACTTTCTTGGCCTCAGGTTCTTCCGCCCTTGAGCTTACCAACCGGTCCCTGGAGGTAGCCTCAATCTCAAGAGCCGCGGAGCTATCGGTTACAGCCCCAGGAGCGGCCTCGACAGTAGCCTGCACCTCCTCCTTCCCTGCCAACTCGTTACTTGTAGCGAATGCGCTGGTATCATCAGACGCTACTCCGGCCATTGCTATCGGAGGCACCTCCTGAGGCATTTCTCAAATTTGTGGCTCGGCCTGCGGGAGAGCGTCTGAGGAAGGCCTGCCTTTAGGCCCTTCCGATTCACCAACTACAGAAGCGCTTCCCGTGGTTTCCTGAGTTGGATCAGGCAAAGATCCTCCGGCCAGCACGGACTCGGCCACAGTCTCAGTTTCTGCATAATCCTTTTGGCCAGTAGCCGTAGGAGAGGTTTCCCGATCAGCATATCCAGTACCCGGAACTTCAGTCGGGGAAGGAACGTCGGCAGGACTAGCTTCCGTGCTGCCGCCACTTACCACCGTTTGCCCCCCAACCGCATCAGATTCAGGAGCATTGGAAGATCCACTGGCGTATCCTTTCGCTGGTTCCGGCAGCACTGCACTACCTAGAGGTCCTGCTTCGCCCGCTGGCCCTGGGGGCCCGCTTGGGCCCGGCGCACCATCCCCACCCGCCAGACCCTGGCTCCCCATGCCACCTTGGGGATTTGCCTCACCTGTCAAAGTCGCAGGGCCCATCAAACCAGTTGGTTCGGCCTTCGCCATTGCCGTTTTCCGTATCCGAAGCGCTCTGAGAAAGAGCTTCCATTTCACCTTCGGCCGAACTCTCAATACCGATGGAAGGCAAAGCAGCTGGTGACTCTGCCGTTTCAGGTTCCGGAGCGGCCTTTGAGGCAGGTAGAGATGTCGGTTCCGTAGGCGCCACACTTACAATGGCTGATGCTGACATTGCGGCTTTTGCCTCTATTTCGGCTTGAATCTCAGCCTCTTTGACAGCGGGAACTTCTTTCAAAACAGCTGTCTCAGCCATTTCCTGCGCCGGCGCGGCCTGTGCCATTGGCATGGCTGGCGCACTTGCAGGGATGGGCACTGCCTGCGCTTCTTCCGCTACCCCTGCGGGAGGTAAAGAGGCCACAGCGGTCACCGGCGCCACTCCTGCGGCTTGTGAGGCCATAGTGATCGATTCCGTAAAGCTCTCCCCACCATGGCGGGACCAAAGACCGCCTCCGTCCGTGACCAGAACCAACGCAATCGCCAGTCCTGCCAGGGAAGCTGCCCCTGCATACGCCCATGAGGGAGCTCTGAAGAACAAAGGTCGAGCGGGAGCTAATGCCACTCCGGCGGCGGCGGCAACAGGCGCCCCTGCCATCACGAAGCTGCGGGAAGGTTCAAGTTGGGGAAGGGATTGAAGTAGCAAACGTGTCTCCCCAAGGCTTTCCAATTCCTTCCGGCAAAGGGCGCACTCGGCTGCAGCCCCATCTATGCGGGCCTTTTCTTCCTGCGACACACGGTTGCCCACGTATTCAGACAACCTGTCGTGGCTCAAGTGCCTATGTCTGTCGAAAATCCACATAACCCTACTCTTCCAGACGGAAACGGGAGGGGAGAAGTTCCCCCGTTGATCGCAGGAAGTCTCTTAGTTCGCGCCGTCCCCTGCTTATTCTTGATTTCACGGTGCCCAGCGAGCAATTCAGGATTGACCCAGTTTCTTCGTAACTGAAACCCTGAATGTCCACCAGGAGAAGCGCCAGTCGTCTTTCCTCAGGCAGAGAGACCAGCCCCGCTTCAATAGTGCGTCGCAATTCCGCTCTCTCGGCAAAATCCTCCGGCGATTCAAGAGAGGAAGGAACTCTGGCCGCTGAAATTGCGGAGTCGCCTGATTCGGGATCAGAGGCTACTGGGTCAAAGGGAATCGATGGACGTGAGCGGCTGGCTCTCAACATATCCCGGCAATTATTGGCGACAATTCGCATCAACCAGGCACGCAAGTTATCGCCACGGAATTGGCCAAAAGAATGATAAGCGGAAGTAAAACTCTCCTGCACCGCGTCTTCTGACAGGAAACGGTCGTTTAGCATGCGGCAGGCAAGATTGTATGCAGGAGTCTGGTTGCCGACAATGACGCAATTGAAGCAGTACGAAATGCCGTTGTGGTTCGTGACTGGAAGTGTGGGATGGTCACTGCAGCTTTCGGCCCAGTCCTTCAGCATGAAATCCGTGTTCGCCATTGGCCGAGAGTTACTACCAAGACCCAACTAAAGAAACTGACGGGGCGTGGAGCCCCGTCGAAAAGAGAAACCGTTCAAATTGCGGACTTGAGCCCTAACCCTGGAAGGATACCCTGCCGTCCAGCAGGCCGCGTGCCATTACGAATTTGTGAATTTCAGAGGTGCCACCACCAATTCGGGCGTGGCGCAACAGGTGATACCAGTGAGGAATGGGCATGTCGAGGGTCTCTCCCATCCCGCCGAAAATCTGCATTATTTTATCTATGCTTCGGCAGCCCCACTCGCCGGCGCAATACTTAATCATAGAGGCTTCCACCCGAACGTCCTCTCCCTGGTCGGCCCTGGCCGCCGTCTCTCGGGTCACCGCGCGTAAATTCATAATGTCTATGTAGACATCCGTCAGCATCCACTGGATTGCCTGCCGCTCGCTAATGGGGCGCCCATAGGTAACCCTCTGCTTTGCCCAATCTATGGCCATTTCCAGGGCCCTTGTAAGGATACCCAATGCCATCGAGCCTCTTAGCAATCGGTCATGGTGAACCAGCCATTGTTGCCCAAGGCTGAAACCCATCCCAACTTCCCCCAAAACCTGGGTTTGAGGCACGCGAACTTCGTCGAGATTTACCATATATTGCTGAGCGCGAGTGGGGACTATCCACACCCTTATTGGGTCAAAACTCAAACCTGGGGTGGGATTGTCGATGATGAACATCGTTATTCCGCCACGCTGCCGCTTTTCCGGGTCGGTCACCGCCTGCACCAGGAGAAAGTCAGCCGAAGCGGCGCCAGAGATGAACATCTTTGTCCCACTGATGACCCAGTCATCCCCGTCCCTTACAGCCCTGGTCTGCATCATCCCGCCCGGGTCGGAACCAGCCTGGGGCTCAGTTTGCCCAAAGGCGTAATTCAGGTCTCCCTGAATGGCTGGGTAAAGGTATTTCTCTTCCTGCTCCGAAGTGCAGGAACCGATCATCATCATTGGCACAGGAGAGGTAGGCAACTGAACGATGCTCTTGTGGATTTCTTCGTCCATCACCACGTGTCCGAGGGCTCCCATTCCGCCCCCGCCATACTGTTCGGGGACAAATGAAGTGAAGATTCCCGTGTCCTTGGACACCTGGTTCAGGCGACCCCACTTTTCAGGAGATAGTGACCCCACTATCCCCATAACAGTCTCAGCTATTCCTTTGGGCCCACCGTCATCAACTCCCTCTTGAGGTGGATTCGCCAGATATTCGGCTTCCAGAGGTACGCACTCGTCTCCTACAATCTGCCGGACCATGTTCTTGAGGCCATCGAGTTCGGGGGGAAGTCCTGCCTGCATTGATAAACTCCGTAAATAGGCTAAACAGTCGTTGAGATTGTTTAGCGGAAGAAAGTCAAAGTGGGCGGCTCTTTCAACCGGCGTGTTCGAGCCGCGAAAGTCTAGTGGAAGGGACAGACATAGGTAAAAGCCTGATAAGCGCCGCCCCGATCCTGGGTCTCAACCTTGTCAGTCAAGCCCTCGTACTGAGAAAAGGCCATCCCGGATACGCCCGCTGGCGTCGCCGCGTCGCTGAACACCTGAGAAACTGCGCCCACCGCGGCAATCGTTACGGAAAGGGAAAGCAATACAAAAACCGCCACTCCTATCAATGTACCTTTCATAGCCACCTCCCAGGAAAGCGCCAAATCACGTTTACTATCTTTGAGGCCGTCCACTAGTATTACAACGACTGTTTCTCCAGCAGGGCGCTTTTCACGAACAATTCGAACCTGACAACTTGATGCGACGAGCCACCGCGATAGCACGCTGGCAGCTGAATACGAAGAGTAAGAGAACATATTTAGCGATCCGTCGTTGTAATACTAGGCGTATGTACGAGATATTCTATAACTTTCCCCGGCCAAATGCCAAACTATGAGAGATGCGCGTCAGGGCTGTCGCGTACGGGTTTTCTCTGGCGAACATGCCTGGTTATTCTTGTATCAACCTTTCCCCCACTTCCTTGGGAGCAACTTAAGCCGAACCGTATGACATCCGTCACTGGACATCCCCTGTTACCCCCTCCTACCATGTTCTTCAGAAAACCGGCTGCCTTGTCCTTCTCGCCCAACATCATGTCAGGAGAGGCATGAGCGGAAATGAGCGGAAGTGGCGGGAAATTGTTTTCTCTCTCCCAACTTGCAGTCCACCAAATCCGCCCAGCAAAGTCGGGCCTTTGAAATGCGATTTACCTGTGGCCCTCGGCAATTCTTTCCTTTGTTTTGCTGATGAACCGGCCGGATAGTTGTCGCCTTGAGCCGTCCGAAAAGCTTAAGATCCTCTTGATTAACCTTGACTTAGCACCCAAAGATGAAGACCAGCCAGGATTTTTGCCTTTTCCGCTACGGCCCGTACTCGGATTCAGTCGGTAAGCGCCTACTCCGATGTTGGACTTTATTCCCCCAAACCCCGTAGACGAAGAGATTCTGAAACTTGCCTTTTCTTTTAGGTCAGTACTCGTGCATCGAGGAAGTGAGCAATGGAAGATAATTCCGAATGGACTCCTGAACTGAGACGCCGCTGGGACGAGGGAATTGTTCGATACCCAGATCCCGCGGTGGAGGTGCTGGACCCACGTTTCCTTGCCTACAGAATCGGGAATACCGCCGTAGAGTGCCTTTTCACTGGAACCCGCTGGGCCGAGGGTCCGGTGTGGTTTGGGGAATTTAGGTCCCTGATTTTCAGCGACATCCCAAGCAATCGGATGCTGCGCTACTGCGAGGTAACCAATAAGGTCACGATGTTTCGTCAGGCCTCCAATTGCAGTAACGGCAACACCCGTGACCTGCAAGGGCGTCTGATTACCTGCGAGCACCTGTCCCGTCGGATAACACGCACGGAGTACGACGGGAGCCTCACCGTGTTGCTGGACCGCTTCGATGGCAAACGCCTCAACGCACCCAACGATGTTGTAGTTCATTCCGATGGAGCAGTCTGGTTTACCGACCCCGGCTATGGAATCTTGGTGGGATACGAGGGACAGCGAGCCGAAGCCGAATTACCCACTCGAGTCTACCGACTGGATACTTCAACCGGCGCAGCCACCGTAGTAGCTGACGATCTGGTAAAGCCCAATGGGCTGTGTTTTTCTCCTGACGAATCATTGTTATACGTTTCCGATAGCGGCATCTCCCACGACCCGGATGCACCGGGACACATCCGAGTCTTCGAGGTGGTAGATGGCATAAAGCTGCGTAGCGGCAAGGTTTTCTCTGATATGGCGCCCGGGTTCGCCGATGGCATGCGAACCGATCTCTACGGCAATTTATGGACTAGCGTAGGCTGGGCCGGACAAAATAAGGACGGTGTGCTTTGCTTGACGCCTGAAGGTGACCCGATCGGACGAATTCACCTTCCCGAACCCTGCTCAAACCTGTGTTTTGGCGGCTTAAAGAAGGACCGTCTGTTTATGACCTGTAGCCAGTCCCTGTACTCACTGTACGTAGAGGCCATCGGTAGTCAGAGACCCTAGCTATGGCTTCCACATTGTCGAGCCTTTGCACATCCTGAAAAACAGACTCGGCAAGGCAGTTGTTTCGTAAGAGTATCTTCACTGCACCATGGAAAGTTTTCCATAGTGTTGGGAATCCTGCGGAAACTTCAGTGCCGCTCATATGGGAGGGGCCCCCGTAGTATAATTGGCTATCTTCATTTAGGAGAACAAGATTTATGACGCTCCAGCTCAAGGACTTCAAAATACGAAACCGTCCTGTCGTTTCTGGCCGAAGGCTGGCTCCTGATATGCCGGAGCAGATGGCAACCAATATTAGAAACGCTGAGACGCAAATCGCCGAACCCTTCAAGGGATTGACTACCGATGGTCAAGTGGTGCCGAGTCTTTTTTCCCTGAAAAGCACCGGGCTTTCCAATGAAGGGATGAAACGGGCCGCTGAAGCCTGGCTGAATTCCGTTGATTCTGGGCAGCGCGACGCCGCTCTCTTTTCAGTGGAAAGCGATGCCTGGCGACGGTGGAGCAATATCCACGTTTTTCTGATGCGCCACGGTGCAATGATGGAGCCTATGACCCAAGACCAGCGGGATTTAGCCTTCAACCTGTTACGAGAAGGTTTCAGCCCAAGCGGGTTCGAACTGGCTCGCAACATCATGAAGCTCAACGAGTCCATTCGGGAGATTACCGGTAGTGATGAGGAACTCGGTGAATGGTTGTACTGGTTGAGCATCATGGGCGAGCCTTCGCTGGACGAACCTTGGGGCTGGCAGTTCGACGGACATCATCTGAACGTTAACTGCTTCCTGCTTGGGGGCCAGATGGTAATGACCCCTATGTTTATGGGTTCAGAACCGGTGGCCGTGGACATTGGCAAGCACGCTGGAACTCGGGTTTTCCAGGCGGAAGAAGGCACCGCACTAAGTCTTGCCCGTACTCTGACCGCCGAGCAGCGGAGCAAGGCGATAGTCTCAGATGATGTTCCGTCCGGGGTCTTTACCGGCGCTTTCAGGGATAATTTTGAAATGCGCTATGAGGGCATTAATTTTGACGACCTTTCCAGCCATCAACAGGCCATAATGTTCGACCTGATCGGCACCTATGTAAACCGGATGCGTTCCGATCACGCCCAGCTCAAAATGGACGAGATTAGAGAGCATCTCAACGAGACCCACTTTGCCTGGATGGGCGGCACCGATGAGGATAGCGTTTTCTATTACCGGGTTCACAGCCCCGTCATTCTTATCGAATTCGACCACCAGAATGGTATCTTCCTGGATAACGACCAGCCTTCACGCAATCATATCCACACCGTAGTGCGAACTCCCAACGGCAACGACTACGGAAAGGACCTGCTCCGGCAACACAGGGAGAAGTTCGACCACACACACTAATAGGGTTTGAAGGATGATGGGCTGGCTAGAATTTAAGTTCTTCGGATTCCTCCCGCTGAGACAATCAATAGGGATGTGGTTATCCTTTCTGTTAGCCTCCGAAATACCTTTCAGAAGGCTGGCTGTTCCTGAAATCATTGGGTTTGGTAGATTTTGGCAGCACTATCCAGTGAATGCCCCGTTTCTTTTCTTGAAAGTAACGTCGCAATTCAAGGGTGGAACCATACAGAGGGGACGTAAAGGTGACGCAACTACGCAACATACCTAGCGTGGAGCGAGTAGTAGCTTCCGACTTGTTGAGCAAGGAGATAAGGACCTACAGCAGGGAATGGATTGTCTCCGTAGTCCGCCAGCAACTGGCCAGTGCCCGCGCGGAAGTCATGAACGGTTCGGCAGCCCCTACTATTGACCAGGTAGCTTCGGCGACGCGAGATGCCCTGGAATCCATGAACCGGCCGGCCCCTCAACCCGTCATCAACGCTACTGGTGTCGTCATTCACACAAATCTGGGGCGGGCCCCCCTGAGTCGTGCCGCTTCCGAGGCAGCAATTCTGGCCGCGCAGGGATATTCGAACCTCGAATTTGACCTTGGAAGCGGCCGGCGGGGTTCCCGACAGGCCCACCTTCAAAACATTCTCCAGGAATTGACGGGCGCTGAAGCTGCATTGGTGGTCAACAACAACGCCTCTGCGGTGCTTCTTGGTTTGTCGGCTTTGGCGGCTGGGAAGGAAGTCATAGTCTCCCGGGGTGAAGCGGTTGAAATAGGCGGCGGGTTCAGGGTGCCTGACGTGCTCAGTCAAAGCGGGGCCATACTGGTTGACGTGGGAACCACAAACCGTACCTACGCCAGAGACTACGAGGACGCAATTACCCAGAATACTGGAGCATTCTTGAAGGCTCACGCCAGCAATTTTCGCGTGGAAGGTTTCACGGCAGCAGTCGAACCTGGAGAGCTTGTTGAATTGGGCGCCCGAAAAGATGTTCCGGTCTTGCACGATGTGGGCAGTGGTTCCCTTCTCCTAACCGAGAATTACGGGTTGGCCCACGAACCCACTCCCCAGGAGAGTGTAGCGGCAGGCGTTGGCCTTACATTCTTTTCCGGGGACAAACTGCTTGGGGGGCCCCAGGCGGGGATTGTAGTCGGAACGAGGGATCTGGTAAACCGATTGGAGCGTCACCCATTGGCCAGGGCTTTTCGCATCGACAAAATGAGCCTTGCTTCCCTTATCGCCACTCTGGTGCATTATCTGCGTGGAGAAGCTGAACGGGAGATCCCAATATGGCGAATGATTTCCACCCCGGTGCAGCTTCTGGAAGAACGTGCCATATCATGGCAGAAGGCCGTCCAGGAAATTCCTGGCGTTCATGCCAGGGTTGACGACAGCCGCTCCGCCATCGGGGGAGGCAGCTTGCCCGGTGAGACTCTGCCTACGAGAGTGCTTTCTCTTGATTGCAGCACGGTGGCAGGTGGCGCACAGCAAGTAATGGAACGTTTGCGGAAAGCTGACCCTCCGGTGATCGCGCGTATCGAGGACGACCGGGTGCTGCTTGATCCGCGAACGGTGTCGACCAGATCCGATGAAGAGCTATTGCAGGCTTTGACCAATTCATTCAAGTAGTTGGCTTTCAGCATTAGCTTCTGGGCGTCAATTGTAACGAAGGGCTTGCCCTGCCCGGAATTTAAACTGTAACTGTCGAATTTGGGATGCCGAAGAAGGCAAGTTCTGAGGAGATATCCAAGACGGGAATGACCGACTTTCTGATAGTACATGACGTTGGGCAAGGAGCCTGGTTCTGGAACAAGGTCTGGGGAAGTGCCACTGCTCCTGAAGAACATCCGCCTAGACTCTTTACTCCTCGCTATGCCAGCCAGTTCTACTTGCTAAACCTCCCCGGTCACGGAGGTGATGAAGAAGGGGATACAAACGAAGTAAGGCTGGACGAGTGCATCCAGGCCATTACTCGTACTGTAGAACGGCGGGGCATGCGCGACCTAGTTCTGGTCGGCCATGGCATTGGAGCAATGATCGCGCTTCAGGCAGCGACGCAACTTCCCACTCCTCCAAAGCGTCTGGCCCTGGTATCGGGGGCACTACCGGGAAAAAACCGGAGCCCGTTGACCTGCTTTCCCAGCGCAGTGCGGAAGCACTTTTCCGCCAGAATGAACTTGGGCAAGCTTTGGGGCGGAGATGTAAAGCTTCCTCGCTCCGTCATTACCCGTTACCTGTGCAACGAGATGGAACCGAAAGAAATAACGCGAGCCCTGGGGTTTTTTGGGCCCCTGCCCACCAGACTGATGGAAACCAGGGTGAGCCTGCAATTGTCGGATATTCCCTGCCCGGTTAGCTATGTGGTGCTCGACCAAAATCGGTTGTTGCCTCCTACCGTGCAGCTATCGATGGCTCGGCTGATTCCCAGCGTTGACATTAGGCACCTGAATTCTTGCCATCAGGTGTCACTACACTTACCGGCCGAAATGGGAGAGTTACTTCTATCCCTAGCGACCTAATCTGCGTTCACCTTCCCTCTCTGCTCTCTCCCCATCATTTTCTACTCGGCCAAGTACTATGCTAGACTTGGGCAATGTCCTTTGTTGCCGATTTACATCTCCATTCCCCCTATGCCTACGCCACAAGTAGTGCCCTTACCCTGGAAAATTTGGCTCACTGGGCCCGCCTCAAAGGCATTGACCTTCTAGCCACAGCTGACTTCACCCACCCCACTTGGGCAGAGGAACTAAAGCAAACCCTGACGGAAGACTCCTCCGGCACTTACAGCTACGGTGGAGTCAATTTCATAATGGGAACAGAAGTTAGCTGCGTTTATAAACAGGGAGGCCGTGGGCGCAGAGTCCATCTGCTAGTCTTTAGTCCCGACATGCAGACTGCAGCCAGATTGTCCAAGGCCTTTTCTTCCTACGGCAATCTGAAATTTGACGGGCGGCCCACGCTAAGCATTTCGGTCCAGGAACTCGTGCATTTGGTATTGGAAACTAACCCCGATTGCCTGATTGTTCCAGCACATGCCTGGACTCCATGGTACGGGATTTATGGTTCCAAGTCGGGCTTTAACAGCCTTTCCGAGGCCTTTGGCGACGTCTTTGACTACATACCGGCCATAGAAACGGGGCTTTCCAGTGACCCGGAAATGAACTGGTCGGTGCCTGAACTGGGTAGCAAGGCTATTGTCTCCTTTTCCGACGCCCATTCCCTTCCGAAACTTGGCCGGGAAGTTACTGTGTTTGGAGGCCAACCAAGCTACGAGGGGCTGAAAGTTGCCCTGCAGCGCAATCTGGTCGACTATACGGTTGAAATGTACCCCGAAGAAGGTAAGTATCATTACGACGGTCACCGGAAGTGCGGAGTTTGCAGTCACCCCGAGGAATCTAACTCAAACGGAGGCCGTTGCCTCGAATGCAACCGGCCGTTGACCTTGGGAGTCTTGCATCGGGTGCTTGAATTGGCAGGGGAAGATTTCAGCACGGAAATGCCAAACAACTCCTGGAGTAGAGCCACTTCGCCGTCGGACTCAATAAGCTCCTCTTCGGGGAGGCCGCCCTTTTTCAGAATGGTTCCGCTCCTTGACATAATTGCAGCAGTCAGACAGCACGGTCCCAATACCAAGGGAGTGTTAACCGAATACCAGGCGCTGGTAGGAGAGTTGGGGTCGGAGTTACAAGTTTTACTGTGGGCCAAAGAAGCAGAACTGGTGCAGGCGGCGAGGATCGACTTGGTTGACGCAGTATTGAAAGCCAGAAAAGGAGAAATTCACATCGAACCAGGCTACGATGGGGTTTATGGAAAGGTTTCGGTGTCTTCGCCCATTGCCAACGGGAAGGCACCTACAAGCAAGTAAATTGAAAGCGTTCGTCCCTTTGCATTTTCCCCTTGAGTCCTAAGCTTCTGCATAGTAACAAGAGCCAAGAGCAAGTCACCAAAACCACAAACCTACCTTGCTATGTTAAAATGCTGCATTGTTGGCGAAACGCCAAAAACGGCATTACTCTTCCCGAATCCACTTCAGGTAAGCATCAAGAAAATGGATATAGCAATTCGACGACTTCGGGCCGAAGACATAGAGCAGGTCATCGATATCGAAAGAGAGGCTTTTTTACCCTTGAGGCTGGGCACTGCCTTCAAACGGGAACTCAATAATCGATATGCCCGCTATTTGGTTGCTTGCCAACCCGAAGGTTTAGAGGAAGCACTGGACGAAGATCCCCAATCATCGGAGTCGAATGCACTGGGGCCATCCGATGCCTCCCTATGGGGTCGCATGGTACGTGGCGTAAAAGACATGGTGGGCAAGCCAACTTCCGACGACGGAAAGCCGGAGGATGTTGCCGGTTATGTGGGACTGTGGTTTCAGGGTAATGAAGCTCATATCACCGAGATCGCCGTGAGGGAAAAACTGAGAGGCAACGGCATAGGGGAATTGCTGTTAATCGGCTCCGTTAGAGTTGCCATGGAACGCGGATCAACAGTCCTTACCCTCGAAGCTCGTGTTTCCAACTTCATTGCTCAGCGACTCTATGATAAATACGGGTTTCAGGAAGTGGGCATTCGCAAGAACTATTATTCCGATAACCGGGAAGACGCGGTGATAATGACCACCAGCCCGATCCATACCGAAGAATATAGAAAAAAGTTTCATCAACTGCAGGAGGCCTTCCTGAATCGCTGGGGAGAAATCAAGATAGACCTGTGATCACCAGTTGGCCTAATACTGAGCCGCTAGGGATTGCCGTGCTTGGATCAGTCCTCAGCGTAAGGTTGACCCTTACTTACCCCCTTGTTAGAATGGCGGGAGTGCTTTCAGAATTGAGGCCCAAATGTTAGTCATTGGCCTTACCGGCGGCATAGGAACAGGCAAGACCGAAGTCTCCCGGCTATTGCAGGAACTGGGCGCAGAGGTTATAAACGCAGACCAGGTCGGCCACGAGGCCTATACTCCTCATTCCGAAGCTTGGGAAGAGGTCGTAAAGGCATTTGGCGACAACATTCTGCAAGAGAACGGAGAGATAGACCGTCGAAAGCTTGGAAGCATCGTTTTCGCCGACCCTGAAAACTTGGCCACCTTGAATGGGATAATGCATCCTAGAATGGCAGCCATCGTCAGGGAGAAGCTGCGCGGCCTGGAGACACAAGGTGTTGAAGTGGCTGTCGTGGAGGCAGCAGTCCTGTTTGAAGCAAGTTGGGACACGCTGGTTAATGAAGTCTGGACTACGGAATCTCCAGAAAAGTTTGTGGTTGCCAGGCTACAGGAGAGAAACGGTTACGAACCTGATGAGATTCGAAAGCGTATAGCCTCTCAGATGTCCTCCGATGAGCGGTCTCGTCGTGCCACCGAGGTAGTTAGCAACTCAGGAGAGTTGCCGGATCTGGAGAATACCGTCAAGGAAATTTGGGAACGCAGAGTCAAAGGAAGGATTGGACGAACATAATGGTAGAAGCGGTTGAGTCCGAACAGGAACAGAATGAACCTCAGTACAAAGAGTACGCAATCGAAGAGTTTTTGGTTCGAAGCGAACCCTATTATCGCCCCGTAAGTGACGAATTGGAACTCTTTACGGCAGCCTATAATCAGCACATCCCCGTATTGCTGAAGGGCCCCACCGGCTGCGGGAAGACCCGCTTCGTGGAATACATGGCCTGGAAACTGGGCAGGCCCATGGCCGTGGTCAAGCCCACCGATGGTGAGCGCCAGGTGCAAGACGTCCGGGAAGGCGAAGTTCGTGTTCCTCTGGTAACGATCGCCTGTCACGAAGACCTGACGGCCAGCGACCTTGTTGGACGCTACCTGCTGGATTCCGATGGTACCCGCTGGATAGACGGCCCGATGACCCGCGCCGTTAAGACGGGCGCAATACTTTACCTCGACGAGATAGTGGAAGCACGGAAGGACACAACGGTACTGATTCACCCTTTGACTGACCACCGGCGAATCCTGCCGGTGGAAAAGACAGGGCAGATAATAGAGGCTGACGACCGTTTTCTCCTTTGTATATCCTACAATCCACACTACCAGAGCGCGTTGAAGGACCTGAAGCACAGCACCCGCCAGCGATTTATCTCGGTGGAGTTTGACTATCCTCCGGCTGACATTGAGGCGGAGATTGTTCAAAAGGAAAGCGGCTGTACCGAAGAGCAAGCCAGTGCACTGGCTAAGCTGGGCGAGAAGGTACGCAATCTCAGAGATCACGGCCTCGCAGAGGGCGCCAGCACGCGATTGCTCATTTACGCTGGTCGGTTGATGAGAGAAGGTATTCCCGCGCGGCGGGCTTGCCAGGTAGCCATAGTCTGGACACTTACTGACGAAGCAGAGCTTCAACGCAGCGTGGAAGAGGTGGTTTCCTCCATCTTCGAATAGAGGTTTTGATGGGTTTATCCACCCCCGACTTGGTAAGGCAGGCATTGGCACACCGGTCCCAATGGAAAGTGACCGATGATAGCTTGATGCCTGCTGCCGTATTGGTAGCCTTGTACCCCAAAGACGGCCAGTACTGCATTCTCCTGAACAAAAGGTCGGAGCAAGTCGAACACCACAAGGGAGAAATATCCTTTCCTGGCGGTGCCCGCGACCCTGAAGACGGTGACTTTACTGCGACCGCGCTAAGGGAAGCGGAGGAGGAGATGGACATCAACCCCTCTCACGTTACCATTCTCGGCGAGTTGGACGACGCGGTTACTCGCAGTGGGTTCGGTGTCAGGGTATTTGTAGGCGCAATTCCTTATCCCTACCCCTTTCAGCCCAGTGATGTGGAAATAGCCGAGGTCTTGGAGGTCCCCATCGCCAGCCTCTATGATCCGGCAAACATCCGATGGGAAACTCGTTGGACCGGCGAAGGACTGAGTACGGTTTATTCCTTCGCGTTTGAAGAGCATGTGGTCTACGGCGCCACCGCAAAGATCCTGCAGCAATTTCTGGACATCATGGAAGACTCTCTTAAGAAGGAGGGGCTAACGTCTTGAGCAATGCTCCCTTTGATGAAATAGAAGCGGAATTATCCAAATTCCCTCCCGGCGTAATGGATGCTTATCGGGAAGCATCCGAGGCAATGGAATCATCCTTTTCTTCCGAAGAACTCCTCCTCTGGGCTAAGGAAGGAGCGGCTATTGCGGGCCAGACAGTGCGGTCCTGGGAATCGGCGGTGGAGTACTACCGCGTATGTCCGCTGGTAGCTCGATCACTGGCCTTTCCCTCCTTCATGCAGTGGGCCCGGTGCGGGACGTATCTGTCCCAGGACTCTCCGGCCCTGGCTGTCTCCTTCTTCAAAGCCAGCCCGTCAATAGTGTCCAACCTGCGACCCCAGTACATACCTCGCTGGGCTGGGTTGGGCCGCAGTCTGTACAAGGGAACCTGGAAATCAAGCACCCTGTCGGGTCGCTTTTTTGAGGTAAGCCCTGACTTGATACGTAGCTTGCCCTTCTGGGACGTTGAGGTATTCGCGTCTCTGATCGAGGCTCTTTCCTACAAGTCTTACGATATAGCCGTAGAATGCCTGACCTTGGGCAAGGACGTTCTGCCGGTAATGGGGCGGGAGCGGGAAGCTTTCCTGGCCATGTGCCGAGCCCTGTCCGATGGAAATTGGCGTGAGGTCAAGAGCTGTTTCGAAGTGGCGCCCAAGGCCTTGCAACAGATTGAAGAGGGCCAGACCAGCCGATTCCTAAAACTGGGTGAGCGTCTCACAAAGGTAGGAATTCGGGACACGGCTCGCTTCCTTTCTGACGGTAGCTTGGCGCTGAGCGAGGTTCCACAGGGTTCTCAGGCCCATATTCTGGACCTGTGCGAGGGCCTGCTTGCCATAACCCCAGAAGCGGTTCCGTCATTTCTCAAGAGCTTGGATGGCGTATTGCGCCGAGTTACTATCAACCAGTTGGACACCTGGTTCCATCAAGGCGTTCAACTCTTGAAGGAAAACCCTGAAAGCGGAATCGCGTTCTTCAAGGTAGAGTCCAATACTTCTGAGTCGTTGCTGGAGACTCTGTCATCCAGCTTGGAGCTGGACCGAGTTAAGGGTGTGGTTAGACTCTATTGCCGTGCCCTGTCAGGTACTCCCATAGAGGTCATGAACACCCAGGAACTGGTACGCCGCAATATTGGCTGGGTGGACGAGGACACTGCATCCACGGACGGCACAAAGGTCTTCTTGCCCCCGGTGGTGGACCATTACCAGGACAAGAGCCAGAACTTCTCGTGGTTCAAGGTGGTTGCTACCCATCAAGTGGGCCATCTGGAGTTCGGCAGTTTTTTCTACGACTTTACCAAGCCAGCCCTCCGATTTGAGGAGGAAAGGCGTTATGCTTTGGAGCGACAGCGGGGAGCTCTGGAAATTAGCAATGACGTGCTGGTGGGCGACGTCGAGGCCGACGGCCAAGTTCGTGCCTTTACTGACATCGGACGCTTTCTCAGCCTTTTCGACAACCGTCACCTTGCCTTTGACCTTTTCACAGTCCTGGAGGACTGCCGACTGGATTTCCGCATCAAGGTCGAGTACCCGGGCATTCGTCGGGTCGCCGTTGACGTGCAGTCGGACACTCTGGCCCGCCGACCGGAGGTCGAGGACATGCCTCTGCAGGAGGCGCTGGTCGAACTACTGATCAGGATGAGCCTGGACCAGTTCAACAACCTACCCATTCCCGTGGACTTCAGGGAAGAGGCGACCATGCTGGCCCAGATTCTGCTAGTGCTGAGGGACGCTTCGGCCAACGTGGAAGACACGGCGGAAGCTACTCTGCGGGCCTACGAGATTATTTCGCGACTGGAGAACGAAACTCAACCCGAAGACCAGTGGGAACCGGAAGATATGGAGGAACCTGGCGACTTTTCCGAGGAGGAGTTCCAGTCTCTCCTGGACAAGTTGCAAGCCTCTCAAAATGCCTCTGGAGACAGCGGCGAAGGCGATCCTTATGATTCTCCGGAACCAGTGGACTATCGTGGCGACTTCAAGCCTGAGATGGTTCAACTCCTCACCAAGCTTCAAATGGACCAAAACCAGCAGGGCGAAGGGGAGCCTCTTTCCCAGGAGATGCTGGAGCAATTACTGCAGGATAGCGCCGAACTGGAGTTGGACGCAGAGCAGGGTGACATAAACAACAGTATGAGCACCTTTGCTCAGAACATTATGAAGGAGGCCGGCGTTCCTCCTCCCAATTCCCAGCCCGGTCAAGGGTACGGGCCGTTGCTGCACGACGATGACCAGGGAGGGGAGCTGGAAGCCCGAGAGCCCAAGACTTACGTCTATGACGAATGGGACTTCCGAGCCAATGACTACAAGCCGCGCTGGTGCGTGGTCAAGGAAAAATCTCTGGACGAAGGCGATTCAGCATTTTATAACGATTCGTTGAAGAACTACTCGACTCTTCTGACTCACATCAAGCGTCAGTTCGAGCTGATAATGCCGGAAACCTTCCGGAAAATTTACCGGATGATAGATGGCGAGGACATTGACCTCAACGCAGCGTTGGAGGCGGCAGCAGACATTCGAATGAAGGTGCCGCCGGACGAAAAAATCTACTGGCGGCGCAACAAGATTGAACGAAACGTTTCTGTGGTTTTCCTTTTGGACATGAGCGCTTCCACCGCAGAAGCTATCGACGAAGGTCGTCATACTGTGGACGACCGGGACGCCCCGGACGATCCGGTAGAATACATGGTCTGGCTGCGCCGGCGTCGCGAAGGCTTGGTCCGCCGACACTACAAGCGTATTATCGACCTTGAAAAAGAGAGCACTGCCCTCTTGATCTCGGCCTTAGAATCCATCGGTGACAACTATGGTATCTACGGCTTTTCTGGCTACGGGCGAGAGAACGTAGAGTTCTATGTCATCAAAGATATTGAGGAAAACTTCAGTGAGCGGATTAAGAGGCGCATCGACAAGATAACGCCCCTCCATGCCACCCGCATGGGTAGCGCAATCCGCCACGCCATAACCAAGCTGGAAAACCAGGACTCGCCGACCAAGATAATGTTCCTAATCAGCGATGGACGGCCCCAGGACCGGGGCTACAGCAGGGAAGGCGTGGAGAAGGAATACGCCGTCCATGACACTCACATGGCCCTGATGGAGGCTAAGCGGAAAGATATCACACCCTTCTGCCTGACCGTGGACAAGGCAGGTCACGACTACCTCAAGGAGATGTGTGGCGATATGGGATACGAGGTGCTGGGCGATATCTGGGCTCTGCCAGAACGGTTGCCTATGCTCTACAGGCAATTGACCGCCTAGCCCAGGGATACGAAGCCCCTGTAGAGGGCCAGGTGACTCCGGGAACAAGCGCGATGGGGCGGGTTTAAAACCCGCCCCATTCTTTGGTGACTTCGATACAGTTTACGGCATCATTGATTCTCTGCGACGATCAGCTTGCGAAGTTCTGTGAGCGCCGTGTTGGCCACCCGCCGCTTGATGACAATTCGACGTGGCGGAGTGCGAAATTGCAGCTTACGGGTCGACTCCCTTCCCGCAATGGCCACATACACCTGACCAGGCGGCTGATTCTCCTCGGGTTCGGGCCCAATCACTCCGGTTATGGCGACACCATAATCAGCCCCTAGGCCGTCCCTGGCTGCATAAGCCATTGCTACGGCAGTTTCCTCGCTTGCTGTGCCGTATTTGTCCAACACATGATTAGGAACACCGTTTGCTACTAGCATTTCGGACGTCATGGCTACTATTCCACCTCTAAAGTAGCCAGTGCTTCCGGGTATGTCGGTAATGCTGTTGGCCAGGAAGCCCCCGCTGCACGACTCCATGGTGGCCAAGGTTAAGCCTGCATCCGTCAGAGCCTGACCGGCAGCCTGCTCGGGGGTCTCTGCATCGTACCCCCAAATGTACGGACCCAACCTGTCTGTGATAGCGGCCTCAACCGGAACTATCATATCGCGGGCGGCGTCCTCATCTCTTGCCCTAGCTATGATCCGGAGGTGTATTCCATCGGCTTTGGAATAGATCCCCAAGTAGGGATTCTCGTGTCCGAAAAATTCGGATATTTCTTCGTCAATGGCAGCTTCAGACATGCCTAGAGTCTTTATATTTCGTGTGATGGTTACCTCTTCATCCACCATTTCCTTTAGCAGCGGGGCCACTTCCTCGTGCCAAATGGGTTGCATTTCTCCTGGCGGGCCGGGCATGCACACTACTATACGGCCATCATTTTCAACCCACCAACCCGGAGCCGTCCCATTGCGGTTGCGGACAAACCGGGCGGAAGGAATGAGGTGGGCCTGCTTGATGTTATGGGAAGGCATTTCAATGCCCCGGCCCGCAAAGTAACGCTCAAGGTTATCGATAACCTCCTGCTGGACAGTGGGGGTTTCGCCCAGTGCTCGAGCCACCGCCTCGCGGGTAAGGTCGTCCTGTGTGGGCCCTAACCCTCCGGTGGTAAAGATAATATCGGACCGTCTCAGACCCTGAGAAAATGCGTCCGCCAGCTTTTCCAGATCATCTCCGACGATCGAAACCCACTGCAACTGGATGCCCAGGGGTGGCAATTGACTCGCAATCCAGGAGGCGTTGGTATCGGTCAACTCGCCCATCAGCAACTCGGTGCCAATGGAAAGAATTTCAGCTTTCAAATATGCACCTCGCCCGCTGGTATGGCCGGAAGCGCCGGCTTAAGGAAAAAATATGTCAGGGGTATCTGGAGAATCTGGCACATCCTGCTGCCCAGACTAGCTGCCCTCGGTAGGTGGGTAAGGCGGGTCGGTAGCCAATCTTTCTAATGCTGCCGCCCATTCTGCTGGCACGGTAAACAACTCCGGCTGTCCGGAGTTGACAGCGTAACGTTGTTTGCCGTCAGGCGTCAGGTCTCCGAGAAAGAATTCGTGGGTCTGGTCGGCATTCGTGGCTAGCCAAACGCTGGTCATTGCCTGCTCCAATCCATACTCCTCGGGATTGTCCAGATCTTCAGTCACTGTTTCTACGACGTTGGGGTTCTCGAGAAGCTCATCTTCCCCATTCCAAAGGTCCGCGGGAATCTCAAATTCCCTATCTTCGGCTTCTCCCTCTCCCTGTTCGATGATGAACCAAGTCTCACCAGTGGCGTCAGAGCCGTAAATGACCGTTTCCTCATTCATAGTTACTTCAAAGTAAACGACATCCTGCTTGCCGGTATTCAAGAGCTCCCGGTCCTGTATATCAGTATCGTACAGACGAGGGTAAGGTGGCTGGAAAACCAGGCGATTGACCACTCTGGCCCAAATCTGAGGCACGATAAAGAGCTTCGGGGACCCGACCAGTCTGGCATATTGGTTCTGTCCGTCGGGGGTAATGATGCCTAAGTGTGCCTCGTAGGTTCGGCCGGTGCGCTCGGTCATCTGAACCCTCGTGACAGGCGGATCTAATCCATACTGAGAAGGGTTTTCCATTTCATCGGACAAAGTACGGTTAACCTTGGGGCCGCTCAGCAACAGAGGGGTACCGCTCCACTTGTCCTGGTAGACCTGGCGGTCTCCGTCTTCGTCAACTATGAACCAGCGTATGCCACCGGGTTTCTTCTGGTATTCTATCGTGTCGCCTTCGAACGTGACGGTAATGTTGACCAGCGAATTATCATCCACCCGCCAAAGCCAAGCCTGATCCTGTTTGGGTTCCGGGTCCCTGGTGAGAATTACCCCGGCAAATGTCCCTCCAAATAGGATGAGCACAATAATCAAGAGAACGGTGAGCCGTATGTTCATCTAGCGTTTACCTATCGTTGAAACCGAAAGAGATTCATCCACTGAATACGCAGTTCCCACACGAACTGGATTGGCGTTACCGGAGGTACCAGAGCAACCAGAAAAGCCGTTTACTTCAGCCTTTCCCCGCTGAATTCCCTAGCTTTACCTAGCGTCGAACCCACCAGACCATAGCAGCCATCAATCCCATCAGGCCCGGCAGCAACAGCCAAGAGGAGAACTTGACGAAGTTCTCCTGGTTGCGGTCTACGTTGAATTCCCTTGTGGTGATGACCTTGGGCCGCAGGGAAACCAGGGAATGGTCTCCTACGAGGTAGTTTACCGAGTTGAGGAAAAGGTCTTTGCCACTGCCCCGGTCGTAGAAACTGTTCGACACAAAGTCAGAGTCGCCCATCACCACCAAGCTGGCTATATCGTTCTCGCTGACGGAGGACGGGTCCGAGGGAACCGGCGCGCCAATGGGCCCCAGCGCTCGGACGAAAGTCACCGGAGTAAAGGGACCAACCGGGTCCGGTTCATTATCCTGGTCAGTCCTCGGTTCCGTTCGCTCGATATCTTGAATTACGTAGCTGTTGCCGGAACTGAAAGCCAGGGGAACGGGTTGCCTCAACCCGGAACCGTCGTCAAATGACTGGAGGGCCGCAGCACCCGGCATGTGCACGAGATCCAGGGAATTGCCTTTGGGAGTAGTAATTTGCAGGAGAGTTTCAAGTACCTCCCTGGGAATCTGCGAAACAATCTCTCCGGGAAGTTCCAATGGATTTACAGTCTGCAGCCTTAAGGTATGAGGATTGCCCGGCAACGAACCGTCAAGGTCGCGAATGTAGCCAGAATTGATCACCACGCCCCAGGTTGCCATGAATTGCCTGAAGGATTCCGGGGTATCCGGGTCGGCCAGGAACACCAGCCGTCCTGCGGAGGGCCGGTCACTACCGTCGGGATTCTTTGCCTTGCAAAAACTGGTTCAACACCTGGGCGTGGGCTTCCGGCAAGTCACCGGTCGGGCGGGCGATTACCAGCAGTGCGGCATCATCGGGTACGCTCACATCTTCGTTCTGGCGACTCCACCGCAAGGAGTCCACCCGGTAATTGTCCTGCTCCAGTCCAACGCGCACCTCACTGTAGCCATCTGAGCCGGGACTCGAAATGCTGCGCTCGCCGTGTCCATCAAGGAAATATATGGGTTTCTTTTCCTGCCCCGTCACCACCAGGATGCTGGTGACCAGGTCCTGCTCCAGGTGGCTGTACTCGGCGTCCTTGGGCTGAATTACGTCCAGAACATCTCCGTCCTTTACCTTTACGACAATCGACTCGTTGACGAAGGCAATTGGAGTGGCGCCAAAGTACTGGTTGACCCTCTGGGGGTTAACGTCCGGATCAATGAATGAAGACTGAAACCTGGTAGGGCGAGTCGCCTCAAATTCGCGCAAAGTCTCACGAACCTTGTCTTCGCGATTAAAGCAACTGGTAGGCAACACTTGCGCTGCCCTGCGGGCCCAGGGAGACTTCCGCCTTGTAGAAGGCAATAACCTCGACATCCTGGTCAAGGTCATCAAGCAGTTGCTCGGTACGGTCGGCCAGGCTGTATTGATTCGTGGCCGTAACGTCCAGCCTGGCGTTAGTCCCGAAGGAGACCGCATTAGCGATTATTATTATTCCCAGAAATGCCGCCAGCATTATCAGTGAATTAACACCATACCTGCCAGTGCGGCTGATAAAGGCTGCCACTACAGTACTCAGCGAGATGAGGCCAACCAGGACTAGAAGGGCTATTCCAAAACCGAGGCTGATGAAGCCGTAAAGGCGCATGGAACTAACAAAGGCTACGAGGGTTACCCCAGCGACGATGGCAACTATGCCGGCGATAACCAGCGGGGTTCCAAAAGTGCCGATAGTGTTAAGGGAAGGTTCAAAAAAGCTGAAGAGTGTCCTGGACCTTACCTCTACTTCCTGTGTTTCCTCTTTATCTGCAGCGGTAGTTTCCGGGGCGTCAGATTGAGGGGGACGGGTAGAACGTTCGCCTCGACGGCGCCGCCGCCAGTCCCCACTCACATTTGTCGGTTCTTCGCTCATTCTATCTCCATCTCCGGAATTCCAGCGCCCGGATTGCCAGGAAGAGAAATACGGCAGTGACGCTCAAGAAGTAAACTATGTGCTTGGTGTCTATAACTCCCCTTCCGAAATCCTCAAAGTGGGACTGGAGTCCTATCTCGTTGATTAGTACGGAAGCGATTCCTCCAACCAGGTCCGAACTGAAATGGACGAAAGACAGGGCAGCGATAATGCCCATGGCCACAAAGCCGGCAACAATCTGGTTGCTAGTGATGGTCGTAGTCAACATGCCGATCGCCAAAGCTGCAGCCCCAAACAAGAACATGCCCAGATAACCCGAGTAAATTGGACCCATATCAGGTTCGGCAAAGATATAGAGAAGCAGGGGATAATACAATGTAAGTGCGAGCAAAGCCACCAAGAATGCCAAACTGGCCAAATATTTTCCAATTATAATTTCCCAGTCTCTCACTGGAGACGTGAGAAGCAGTTCGATTGTTCCCAATTTCTGTTCCTCCGCCAGAAGGCGCATAGTAAGAGCCGGGGCAATCAGAACGATGAGAATGGTACTCCATATGGAACTGAACAAGGTGGCTAGAGTGGCTTCCGGGAAGGGGTTGTTCTCGCTGGGCACAACGCCGCGGCAAAGATAATTCCGGTTATAGCCAGGAAAATCATTCCAACAATGTAGGCTATAGGAGTGCCGAAATAGGCTTGAATTTCCTTCCAGGCCACTGCCTGGATTGTCCGCATTCTAGAGCTCCTCGTGAGTTGTTAGTCTCAGGAAAATGTCCTCAAGGCTCATGCTCACCAACTGCATGCTGAGTAGACTCCACTCGTTGCTGACCACGGCTCGGGAAATCTCGTCCCGCAGATCACGGCCCCGCTGGACCTGAACAATAAACAGGTTCCGGCCCTGCTGGTACCGGTGGTTAACCTCGGAAACACCGGGGACGCGCCGGAGTGTGGCTAGCACTTCCTGAACTGGCCCCCCAACCTCAACCTGCAACTGGTCCACTCCCTGAAGGCGCTGAGCCAAATTGCTAGGCGAGTCTTCGGCGACTATACGGCCTTCGTGAATGATCAGCACCCGCTCGCAAATCATATTCACTTCAGGCAGGATGTGGCTGCTGAGCACCACGGTCTGTTCTTTACCCAAGTCCTGGATCAGACGTCGGGTTTCCACGACCTGAATTGGGTCAATACCGATGGTTGGTTCATCCAATACAAGAACTTCCGGTTCGTGAAGAATGGCCTGCGCAATGCCCACCCGCTGCCGAAATCCTTTGGACAGCTTGCCAATGATGGTCTTGTGGTAGTCCTGCAATCGGCAAACCTCGACGACTTCTCCAACTCGGCGCTTGATCTGGCGCGCTGGCATGCCTCTCAGGGTTCCCATGTACTTCAGATAGTTTGTCACCTGCATTTCGGTGTGGAGCGGAACCGTTTCAGGCAAGTAACCGATCCGCCTTCGTACCTCAAGCGACTGCTCTACCACATCAAAGTCGGCCAACGTCACCTTCCCTTGGGTGGGAGGCATAAAGCCCGTCAGAATACGCATGGTAGTAGTCTTGCCTGCGCCGTTGGGGCCAAGGAAACCCAGGATTTCGCCCTTCTTGACGCCAAAATTGACGTCCTCGATAGCAGGCTGAGGACCGTAATAGTGCGTCAAGCCACTGGCCTGAATCATCAAAACGTCAGTTTTTTGCTCTTCCATTTCCCAGCTGGCGAAGTATTCGACACGTCCGACCCCTTGTTGCGAGGTCGACTTACAGAAGATTCGCCTGTCCCCCCTCTTATATCTACATTGAACAAAAGCATTAGTGATGATATTCTATACGTCGGCATTTGCCAAGAGTTAGCCAGGGGGACGTAACTGTCCCCAGCTTGATTTTTTGACCCTTCGGAGGCGAAAGACACCAAAGATGCACCTGGTTATTGACGGATATGCTGGTGACACCGGCAAGATGTGGGATGCGAAACTGGTCAGGGAGTTTTTGATCAACTATCCTGACAAACTCGGTATGACCAGGATCACCGAGCCAAATGTTCTGGAATACAACGGTCCCAAGATCGAAGATGCCGGGGTTTCAGGATTCGTCATAATAGCGGAGAGCCACATCAGTATTCATACCTTTCCTTACCGGAATTACGTTAATATTGACATCTTTTCCTGCAAGTCTTTCGACAACGAACAGGCCACACTTGACGCGAAGGACTTGTTCGACCTGAAGGACATGAAAACCTGGCTTCTTGACCGTGGCCTCGAATGGCTCAATGGTGATCAAGGCCTTACCGAAACCCAGGAACAACGCTCCGCTCTCCTTTCTTAAAGGTCATACCGTATCTTGGACGGACAGGATGACATAAACCTGCCTTGGATTCCGTCCAACTTCCTGGCGTTGCCTCCTCATCAATCCGACCTGTCGACAGCCGGGGTAGTCCTGATCCCCGTACCTTACGACAGTACTACTTCCGTTCGCAGTGGCGCTCGACAGGGGCCTTCCGCCATCATTGAGTCTTCCTACGCTTTGGAAGATTACGACTGGGAACTGGATCTGGATGTCTCCCAAGTGGGTATTCATACTACCCCAGCCGTCGAACCCCATACCGGAGACCCCGCACAAATGGTTGATCGAGTCCGACGAGCTGTGGGGAGCTTTCTGTCCCCCGATCGTTTGGTGGGGGTAATTGGCGGCGACCATTCCGTCTGTATCGGGTCAGCCCTGGCCCACCTGGAAGCCTATCCCCATATGTCCGCGCTATACCTAGATGCCCACGCTGACCTAAGGGACAGTTACCTCGGAACGTCCTGGGGCCACTCGTCGGGCGCCCGCCGTATTAACGAGCACTGCCCGGTAACCCTTGCCGGAGTCCGCAGCATGGCTCCCGAAGAGCGTGATTACCTAAAAGCCGAGGGAGTACCTGCGTTTCCCTGGCCCCAACCCAACGATGAGACGGTAGACTGCTACGCCCGTAGAATAGTTTCCGACTTGGGAGATCAAGTTTACATAAGTATTGACCTTGATGTTCTGGACCCATCGTTGATGGCAGCAGTAGGCACCCCGGAGCCCGGGGGAATGTTCTGGAATGACATCGTGGCCATCCTGCGTACCGTGGCAGAAACCAGGCAGATCGTGGGATTCGACGTCAACGAGTTGGCTCCCCTGGACGGGCCACCTGCCTGCACCTATACTGCGGCAAAGCTTATCTACAAGATAATCGGGCTGGTGGCCACATCTTCCCATTCACCTGTTCGACCAAACGTGGTCTGACCGGCGCTACTTCACGCCCCGTTTCTACACTTGTAGTTCGCCTGTTTTTCTATTGCTTTTTCGAGTCTGCCTTCATGCTTTGGTATCCCGCTCTTTTTCCTCCGCTGGCTAAATAGTGTGCCATATGTTTAGATGAATATATGGACTCCTTACTGACTTAGTGCTTGCCTGGCCGGGACCACCCTGGGATATGGTGCGGTGCCGAATGGCCAGACAGGGGAATGGGTAGCTTAGCCAAATGGATGCGTCCATCCGACTAGGGAAGATTTTCGGCATACCCATAGGTATCAACTATAGCTGGCTGATTGTCTTCGGCCTGGTAATCTTCCTGATGTCGACCAGGTTCGGCGAATTTTATCCCCATTGGCCCCTGGCTTCCCGTTGGGCGGTCGCCGTCCTGACTACAGTGCTCTTCTTTCTTTCGGTGCTCGTGCACGAGTTGTCCCACAGTCTGGTAGCTCTGGCTAAGGGGATTCCGGTGCGTGGCATCACCCTGTTTATCTTTGGCGGGGTGTCCCAGCTCGCTCAGGAGGCCCAGCGCCCTTTAACTGAGTTCCTGGTCTCAGTAGTGGGTCCGGTCACCAGCCTGGGCCTTGCGGTGATTCTAGGACTCTCCTGGTACCTGTTTGGGGAATACAGCTCTTACTTGAGCGCTGGCCTGTTCACGTTATTCGCCATAAACCTTTCCCTTGGCATATTTAATATGCTGCCGGGTTTTCCCCTTGATGGAGGACGCATCCTTCGGGCCGGTATATGGGGTGTGACCGGCAACTATTGGCTGGCTACCAAGCTGGCTATTAGAGCCGGGCAGGGTCTTGGGATAATCATGGTTTGTGGGGGCATCGCTTGGGCTATAACTGGCGCGTTCCAATCCTTCTGGGTCGCGCTGGTCGGTGGGTTCCTCTTTTACGTTGCAACGACCAACTATCGCCAAGAGGCAACAAGGAAGGTGCTCCGGTCCTGCCGGGTGTCTGAAGCAATGACGGCAGAGTGGAGCTTGCTTCCCGGGAACACTTCAGCCCTTTCGACAGAGGCTTTGTTGGCCCTCTCCAGGTCCAATTATCACGGGATACTGGTAGATGGACCACCGTATGGAGTAGTCACTGGCCGAGCTGTGGCTAATACCTCTTCAGAGTTTCTACAGAACGCCACCCTGGGCCAACTCATGGCCCCTTTGGACTCTTTTCCCTCTCTGCATGCCGACTTGGGGGCCTTTGATGCCATGGAGCGTATGGACGCCGAAGGTTGGCAAGCAGCCGCACTGGTTCGCGACAGCTATCCCGTAGGAATTATCAGCCGGTCGGAAATATTGCTCTTGGTGCAGTTGCGACGGCGACGGCGTTAGCTCGGCCTGCTAACCGGCGCTTATATGCCCGAAATCTAAGCAGGCGTACTTCCGAAGACAACTTTTCGATGAAATTAGTTGTGTGCCGTATTTCCGGCTGCAATATCTTACCTACGGGCGGAAGCTGGCTGTGCTAAAATGTGTCGCAGGATACAACTGAGGTTATCTATGTCATCTCCAGGCCTCATTTACCTGGATCACGCCGGAACCACTCCTACCGACCCTCGAGTCCTCGAGGCTATGCTGCCCTACTTTACCCAGCTCTATGGGAATCCCTCCAGCGTACATACGGTGGGGCAAGAGGCTCGCTATGCGTTGGATAGCGCCCGGGAGCGAGTGGCCAAGGTGTTGGCTTGCCGGACGAGCGAGGTTGTGTTCACCAGCGGTGGCACCGAATCGGACAATGCGGCAATCATCGGCGCTGCCACTGCCCTACATGAGACGGGAAACCACATCATAACTTCAAGCGTAGAACACCATGCAGTGCTACATACCTGCCAATATCTCGAGAACCTGGGTTACGAGGTGACCTTTCTTCCCGTGGATGAATATGGGAACGTCAGCCCAGAACAGGTTTACAATGCAACTGGCCCGCGGACTACCCTCGTGTCCATAATGTACGCCAACAACGAAATTGGAACCATTAACCCAATTTCCGAGATTTCTGCAGCGGTCCAAAAGCGGGCAGGAGAATTGGACCGAACAATAGTCATGCACACCGACGCGGTTCAAGCCGCCGGTTTCCTCGACCTGAACGTGCGCAGACTTGGTGTAGATATGCTTAGTCTGTCCGGGCACAAGTTCTATGGGCCAAAAGGCACCGGTGTCCTGTTTGTGCGACGGGGAACCCCCTATATGCCGCTTCTGTTAGGCGGAGGGCAGGAACGGGAGAGGCGGTCGGGCACGGAGAATATCGCCGGCATAGTGGGCCTTTCCGTGGCATTGGATATGGCCGACACAAGCAGGGAGGACACTTCTGCGAACTGTACGGTCCTCCGAGACCGTATAATTAGGGAAGTGACTGACATTGTGCCCGACACCAATCTGAACGGCCATCCCATCCAACGGCTCCCCAACAACATAAACTTTTCTTTTGAGGGTGTTGAGGGAGAGTCTATCCTTTTGGGCCTGGATATGGCGGGCGTGGCGGCTTCCAGTGGCAGCGCATGCAGTTCCGGCTCACTGGAGCCGTCGCATGTATTATTGGCACTGGGACAAACGGCTGAATTGGCCCGGAGCAGCCTCCGAATTACTCTGGGCAAGGAAAATACTGAAGAAGAAGTGGATTATTTGCTGGGCGTTTTGGTTGACCTGGTTAGTCGGCTTCGCCAACTGCCCACACTAACTACGACAGGTTCCTGAAGAGGGTATGAACAGGTATTCTTTGTTTTCAAAATCAAGCCTAAAGACTTCGTTAGTTCTTTTTTTCTCCTTGACATTACTGGCTGTGGTCGGTTGCGCCGACGTTTCTCCGGCAATAGGAAAGTACTATACAGGGCGCACTCTACACGTTAGCGTTGTAGCGATGGAGAGGGCCCCCGAGTTGATCTACACTCTGCCCAGAGGCGGCGAGGCCCCCACATATTACCGGATCGCCCCGGAAGAAGAAAGCCAGGAACTCTTGATGATGCGGGTAAAGGTGGAAAACCACAAGGCCACCAGCGCCATTGTTGACATCGACCAGGGCGCCGCAGAAGTGCGCGATTTCTTCCACGATAAGTACTTCCCTATTGATGTGAAGGAACGGCCCGAGGAAATTGGCACTCCGGAAAATGTGGCTGAGCAACGAGTTGCCAAATGCCCAATTTCTGACCAGCAACCTCGAAACCTTTGTTTCCTTTGGAATACTTCCTACAACGACGGAACCACCAAAGCATTTGAGCTGTTGCAAGGATTCGGGGTCGATGGGTGGTTGATTTTCGAGGTCCCCAAGGACGTAGAAATACGGGAACTCCGGTGGAGAGCAGGGGACGGCCTGACCATTGAGTTCTAGGAATACCTGGGCCGGTTAGGTCACTGGCTGGGTTTAGCTCAATGCAACTTTGGTTGACGCCTCAGCCAGTCACCGCAAATTTACCCCAGCCTTGAACTTCTCGCAGGAATCGGGAATTCCAGCCTGCGGCGGCCCGCTATGGCCCCGTCGTCTGTTCCACGCTGCTGTCGGGTCATCGATACCAGTTGTTGCGATCTTCGTGTGTGACCCCTTAACAGCCCAGCTAGCCGGAATTCTTGCTGTCGCAAGCCTCGCCCTGGATATCATCCGCTTCCGAGTTGCCTGGCTAAATCGAATCTTTCTGCAATCCCTTCGCTTGCTTCTCAAAAGGGACGAGGACCGCCGAATTACCGGCGCTACTTACCTGCTGATTGGCGCCTGCTTAGCCTTTTTACTGTTTGATAAGTCTGTTGCCATAGCCGTCCTTCTGTTCTTGTCCTTGGGCGACCCCGCGGCCGCCCTGGTAGGGCGGCCCATGCCCGGACCGAGGGTTTTTGGAAAGTCTCCGGTTGGGACTATGGCCTTCATTGCCGTGTCGCTAATGGTGATTGGCCTCTTGGTATTCGCCGGAGTAACGGAATTTCAGTGGATATTCATTGCCGGAGCGGTCGTCGCCGGCCTGGTTGAGCTGGCCCCATCGCCTTTCGATGACAATATGACTGTTCCTCTAATAGCCGGGGCCGTCATGCAGTATTTGCCTTCGCTTATCAGTTTCTAGGTGGGTCAATTGATTTCACGAAACAATGGATCTTACCAATTAATAAGGGTCGCACCCTCAGGCGCGACCCTTCTGAAGAACCTACGTTAGCTCGCATTCTACTGAGCACCATCAAACTCCACAAAATCTGCCCTCTCCCGTTGGAAGCGGAGATAGGCAGCTTTTTTCATAGCAGGACGGTGAGAGCTCGTAATTTCCGAGGCTTTTTTGGCACCATCAGCCAGCAAATCTATCACCACCATGGCCATTACCTTGGCCGGGTTGACGACAGCAGCCTCGTAGTCGGCAACCAGATATTCCTTGCTGTGCCCCGAACCGACGGCTCCGGCCGCATAGGGATGACAAACCGGCATAAGGTGACTCAAGTCCCCCATATCGGTAGACCCGCCCCTGTTGCGGCGTCCTGGGATGACCAGAGTCCTATTTTCCCCCACCACCGAAACCGCGTTCTGCCTGAACAGCTCTTGCAGGTGGGTATCGTGCTTCATAGGCAGGTAGCCTGGGATATTGGTGATGTTGACCTTGGCTCCAACCGCCAGGGCTCCAGCCTTGAAGCACCTGTCCACCAGTGCCGAATTCTTCACCACCGCCTTGGGAGAGGCAGACCGCACTCGCCACTCCAGCCGCACGTCGGCTGGGACGGCGTTTACAGCCTCGCCGCCCTTGGTCATTATCCCGTGAACGCGTACTGTATCCTCGCCGCGGAAAACTTCCCGGTTGTTGTGTATGGCCTGGAGGGCAAAGGAAGCGGCATTCAGGGCATTGATACCCAAGTGGGGAGCACTACCGGCGTGGGACCCGCGGCCCAGGAACTGCACGTACTTTACGACGTGCCCGTTGCTGGTGCCTCCCACGGCAAATTTGTGGTCGCCCATGTCGCTGGCAGTATGGCACATCATTGCCATGTCCACATCGTCGAATTCGCCCAGCCTGATTAGTTCCTGCTTGCCTCCCATGAATTCAAGCTTCTTTTCTTCACGTAGCTGCAAGC